TTCGCTGTGTATATTTCCATTTCGCTCTATCAATTGATCAAAGAGACGTCAACATCGCCGATAAAATCTTAATTCCCAAAGAGTAATTACTTGCCGATGTAAAGAGCAGAGATTGTATCCGCCCATATGACTACTGCTAATTATCATTATCCAATCAGAGCGTCGCTATATACTACTCTTCTACCTGTATGCAAAGCGATAGACCGCCTACCCTAAACAGTAAATAATGAGATCATCGGCCCGAAACGGGTATATTTTGCGAGTTTAATACGGGATTTGGCGATAATTATAGATTAATTTTTTCCGATCATCTAAACACGTGCAAATCTTCCCTAATTGATATACACGCGGTGTTTAACCTGTGCAATGTGTTTTTCACGGCTATCACAAAACTGTTAGTCAATTAAAAATAATTAATTTCATTTGGATGATTTCAGTCCGTTAACATCAATTAGAAATTGTAATGTCGCTCACGTCATGGCTTAGGGTGAAATCAGAAATGCCCAAACCTAGCAGTAAAAAAAAGTTACTGATTCTGATACACCTAAAACACGCGAAAATTTAAGAAAGCCAATTCGCAAAAATCTTATGATTGGTATGTTGTAGCAGGGCACTCGTTTGGCCATTTTTGGGGCCGAATATCGGCCCCATTCCCCTCTCAAAATCATATGCTTTTTTCCCCTATTTCAGCAGAAAATTCCCCTCAAAAAAAAATTGTAGTATAAATGTTTGATATTCAACAAAAAAAGTGATGTTTTCATTTCATAAAAATAAAATATATTTCTGTTTAACTTTCAATGGATTGAAAACTAAATTACAGTTGTCAATAACGCTGTATGTTAAAACCGAAAGTAGCAGGAAGTGAGAAATGTAAAAGGGAGGTAACTCTCGTAAAATTATTGACAAAATTAATGTGGCAGATAATCATCGTAGGAGTTTACCTTATATTCAATTTGTTTAGAGAATAGACATACATTGTCATATTCTGCTATTTAATAAACAAAACTATTTTAATTTCTGTCAGTTGTTGTTGGAAAAAACGTATTTCTCTTGCAGTTTTGTACTCAAATATTTTCGTACCCAGTTTTACAGTTACAGACAATTTTCTCTGAAACCAAACCCTTTTTTAGAAAAGGCATAAAACTTTCTTGTTTATTTTTATTTAATTCTTATTTCAATTCTCATTGTTATAATTGTTTCAATCTAAAGAACAGGCAGAAATATTTAGAAAATAGATTAAGAACTGACCAGTGTAGATTGCAAAATAGTGTGATACATTTTTAACTTTAAAAATAAAGAAACAATAAATGACTATAATAGGAAATTATTTTGCTGTGTTTCCATCACTTGGGTACAACATACCCTTGCCTAGGAAAGTCTGCCTTTCCAGAGCTTGTTGCACTGATTCAATTTTTGTTGTACAAGTTTTTTTAAAAAAACAACAACAACAAAAACAACTGTCAGTTTTAATTTTTTATCATAAACAAGAATGCTTTATGCTTGTTATAGATTTTAATATAACCCTAACGTTTTTCAGAATTTGCACTTCACCTCTCACTTTAGAATTTGAGGGGTAAAAACCCTTGGCCAAAACATATATCTGGAGCTCTGATTGATGTCTGAGTCAGTCAAGTGCAATAACAATGCAATAAAGAAAATAATGAGATAGCCTATTTCAAGAAAAACTTCATGTGATATGTTTTATTTGTTAGGTCTATAGTAATAAATATACTAGCTATTGTAAGTTGGGTAGGAAATTGTGCTAAGAGTTAGTGTAAAACCTTAATTTAAAGAACTCATATATGGCTTAAAATTCCCCTTTTTGTCTTAAAATGACGCAAAATTCCCCTTCCTGAGGGTATGGGTACCTGTTGCCAAAAGTTGTCTAGTGCCCTGTGTAGACAGTGAGGGTGTTTTGCATTGTTATCTTTGTAGAAATGCCAAATTTGACACAGCTTTTACGCACGTGGGCACGACATCCTAAAACTACGAATCATGATCGGCATGCGACATATCGCGTATATCATGTGCTCATGTATATAACAAAAAAATTTGTCAGGAAAGAAGTGTTCTTATTGTTTCAATATATATATTTGTTTTAATGTCATAAATATGACGCTCAGATTAAGATTTATTAATATTGTAAATTTCAAAAAGCCTTATTTATAAAGATATTGCCGAGTTTAACATTTCATATAAATAAAGGGAGGTAATTAGAAATTTATTTTCTTTAATTTCTCAGTTGAATTTTTCAATAAGAAATGAATGAATATAATTTTAGTTATCAAATTTAATGTGCACAAATGTTTGCAGTACAAAGTCTTCGATATTTGAAAATTGTTTTATAAGCATAATTATATGCACATAAATGTGACATTACAACATAGAAGGTCTTAAAAGAAATTTCTGTAAACAGAACAGGATAATAGACAGTTTTTATTAATCATTATCCAATGTAACTTTATCTACTGTTAAAAGTGAGGAAAGTAAAAATATAAAGTTAATTTATTCATCATATTTTTTCTTACACATTATTATCAATAAATCTACATGAAAATATATAAACAAATATTTAGAGAAAGCTTATAAATAGCTGATAAATAGATTGTGTTTCTATTCTAGTTAAAGGATGTATAGCCATGCATGTTAATGCATACGCATTGGGATGTTTCCCTTCTGCCGATTTTTCACGAGGAAGTCACTTCTCCCTAAAATTCCCCCCAGGATGAGCCCTGGGTACGGTACAGGTTTTATCGCCGCTCTTAGTTACAAAATGGTGGATCACATCGTCAATATTTGTAAAACGGCGTGTGATCTTCACCAGAAGAACACCGAGAGTTTAAGATTGTTACACCTGAAATGTCTTTTGAAAACATAGAAGGGATGTATTTGTGCCACCCGGGAGGGATGTCAGAAATTTCCATATCTTCATTTCAATATACTGGTGAATAATAAAAAAAAAAAAAAAAAAATCCGACCTACCCTACCTATTCCTTGAGAGCATGTTACCCTAACAAAACAGTTTTTATGCTCCCCGAAAAAATTTCGGGGGAGCATATAGTCGCCGCCTTGTCCGTCCGGCCGTCCGTCCGTCTTTCCGTCCGTCCGTCCGTCCGTCCCCTTTTCTTGTCCGGGACATAACTTTGAAACAACAAGAGGTATCAACATGAAACTTTGTAGGTAGATAGATCTCATTAAGTAGGTGTGCAGTGCACAAGAACCGTAACTCTGCCTTGCCTAATTTTTGAATTATTCCCCTTTGTTTATTTTTACACTTTGAACTTTGTCCGGGACATAACTCTAAAAGTATAAGAGGTATCAACATGAAACTTTGTAGGTAGATAGATCTCATTGAGTAGAAGTGCAGTGCACAAGAACCGTAACTCTGCCTTGCCTAATTTTTGAATTATTCCCCTTTGTTTATTTTACACTTTGAACTTTGTCCGGGACATTACTCTAAAAGTATAAGAGGTATCAACATGAAACTTTGTAGGTAGATAGATCTCATTGAGTAGAAGTGCAGTGCACAAGAACCGTAACTCTGCCTTGCCTAATTTTTGAATTACCCCCTTTGTTTATTTTACACTTTGAAATTTGTCCGGGACATAACTCTAAAAGTATAAGAGGTATTAACATGAAACTTTGTAGGTAGATAGATCTCATTGAGTAGAAGTGCAGTGCACAAGAACCGTAACTCTGCCTTGCCTATTTTTTTAATTATCCCCCTTTGTTTATTTTACACTTTGAACTTTGTCCGGGACATAACTCTAAAAGTATAAGAGATATCAACATGAAACTTTGTAGGTAGATAGATCTCATTGAGTAGGTGTGCAGTGCACAAGAACCGTAACTCTGCCTTGCCTAATTTTTTGAATTATCCCCCTTTGTTTATTTTACACTTTGAAATTTGTCCGGGACATAACTCTAAAGTATAAGAGGTATCAACATGAAACTTTGTAGGTAGATAGATCTCATTGAGTAGGTGTGCAGTGCACAAGAACCGTAACTCTGCCTTGTCTAATTTTTGAATTATCCCCCTTTGTTTATTTTACACTTTGAACTTTGTCCGGGACATAACTCTAAAAGTATAAGAGGTATCAACATGAAACTTTGTAGGTAGATAGATCTCATTGAGTAGGTGTGCAGTGAACAAGAACCTTAACTCTGCCTTGCCTAATTTTTGAATTATCCCCTTTGTTTATTTTTACACTTTGAACTTTGTCCGGGACATATTTCTTAATGTATAAGAGATATCAACATGAAACTTTGTAGGTAGATAGATCTCATTGAGTAAGTTTGCAGTGCACAAGAACTGTAAAAATGTCTTGCCTACTTTTGGAGTTATTGCCCTTTGTTCATTTTGACACTTTGAACTTTGTCTGGGACATTACTCTAAAATTATAAGAGATATTAACATGAAACTTTGTAGATAGATAGGTCTCATTGGGTGGAAGTGCAGTGCTTAAGAATCATTACTCTGCCTTGCCTTATTTTGAAGTAATTGCCCTTTGTTTATTTTTACTTTTTGACTTTTGTCCTGGACATTACTTTAAAACTATTAGAGATATCAACATGAAACTTTGTAGGTAGCTAGATGTAATTGGATAGAACTGCAACGCTTCAAGAACCTAAACAAAGCCTGGTCTAATTTTGGAGTTATTGCCCTTTGTTCATTTTTTTTATACTTTCCTGTGTCCAGAACCTTCTCGGGGAGCATCACCCGGTTCAACCGGTTCTTGTTTTTTTTAGGCCTAACAATAAACAGTACACAGATTTTTTTATTGTAAATACAATTATACATCATTTTACATGTACTGACCTGCAACCACCTCCTGGTGAACTTGTCCTGAACTTTCTCTTATTATCTGGGAATTATACAGGTAAATTCATTTAGTCCAGGCATTTGGAAAGATCTTTTTCTACATTCCTATTCTTTTTAACAGGCTGTTTTGGAATGTCATCCTTTTCTGTAGTTTTAATATTTTTTTTTGTTCTTTCAGGTGAGGCTATTTCTTTAAGATGAGTACACCATCAAAATCTCCAAAGCCTAAAGGTAAATTAAACAATAGTCTGTAGGTAAAGATTAACAAGATTCAGCACTAAATAGTTTATCAGGTTCAAATTTTAATTTTGAAAATACTGATAATTGCTAGCCTATACCGTTACTACCAGTCTCCTTTAAAATGTAAATTAAATATCTTTTGAGTACACCCAGAGAAGATATGCAACATTTTAAACTCTAAAACACAATAGGAAAACACAGTACAAAAACATAGTATCATATATTTCAGGCAAGGAACGTGTGTGTGTATTTTGCGAGCAAGGCAACATATCTGAAGAAACATATGGAAAACTGATTTCTAAAGCTGGCGTCACAGCTCATTATTTCTGCATGGTATGGTGGAGACATATGTTTTTCAGGACTTTTAAAAGTTTGACTATTACTTGTATAAAATATATTAAGGGCTGTCCTGTCCGCCTGCAGATTTCTGATTAATGTTTATGTACATTAAGATGTTTTTTAACCTACATGCATGAGTATGGTTTATAATAATAAGTATAGACAGTGTCATGTTATCATAACTTCATCCAGAAGCAAAATTTTTCACTATTGTATTAGAAATTAACGTTCAGTTTAAACCAGCTTTTTAAACAAAGTATTGGGATAAGATAGATAACTTTGCCCTAGTTATGTTATATATAATCAATATATATGTATAATCTTATCGGTCCATACTAACTTTTGACAAGATCTCCAACCCTTGTTCCTTATTTAAGAATAGATTGTGTAGTATGGGATACCTCCTTTAGGATAGAAATATTATAATTGATATTTTTATGCAATATTTTGTATTACCAAATTGAATTCACAAAAGGCAACATTAAATTTAAAGCAACACAATTTATAGATACTAAGAAAATATATTTCAATGAACAATAACTCTCAAGTAAACCTTTTACTGCATGAGCATATAGTGAAAAATGACCATTTTCATTGAAAAGCCTCCTGATACAAGTACAAACTGCGATGAAACTATGAAAAAAGGTTCCAATACTGATGAAACTTGCACAAATGTTGACTGGACAATAGCCTTTGTAACAGCATGCTCAATCTTACATTTCTTGTTACCATGGCAATGGGGGGACATCTCAAAATTGCCAAAAAATCACTATTTCCATTAAAAATGATTTCAAAGTGCTGCAACTTTTCAATGGATTGAGAGTGCATAAAAGGCTTTTCAGCGTTGGTTACATGTTACCTTAAGGTCTGCCTTAGATCATTTTTAGCCTGTCACTTGTTCAAAAATTTCTTGGAGATGATGGGGGCTACCACCGCCTTCAAACCCGGAAACAGAAGGTGGCAAATTCCCGTTCCGGCAACCCCTTGTTTTACCTTTTTGATAGGGGGGTGGTGCCAGAAAAGTGTTCACTTTTTTTAACAACATTTCCCAAATGAAAAACAGTGGGGCCTAAATAGGGTATTTTTTCACTATATTAGGCTTCTGAAAGGGGGTGGGGAGTGAAATGCCATCTAAACTATCCTTTATGAGGTAAAAGGTTCAGTAGTACATTAATTTATGGGAGAATTTACTAAATCTTACTGAATCTGTCTTTAGTCTTGCCTGTTTAGTTAAAATATAAAGGGGTTAGTTAAATAGTAGGGTTTGAAGCTGAGGTAAAGACACGTTGACAACAAGATCATGATTTACCCATCTTTATCCTCAGCTGTTTTTATATACATTTCTTGTAAAGTAGTGGCTGTTTAATCAATGGCTGCTTCCCCTCAGGAAAGTTCTTGAAATTGTGTATTTTTCCCCGAAAATTTATTTTACATCAAGTTTATTTCTTTCCTTTTTGCAAAAATAATGTGGTGTTTCTTTCCTTTTTGCAAAAATAATGTGGTGTTTTTGCCTAATTTCCAGCTGAAAGTTTCAATCTTAATATAATATATACATAAATATACCACACATGAAACATTATTTTGACTAAAACTTGCCCTCATCTCTCACATCTTACCAGATGTTTTCATTGAAATTTACTTTTATTCATTCAATGTTGTGTTGCCACATGTCTTGCATCTTGATTGTTAACCTATTTCCCATTTCAAGAATCTGCAATGTGATTGTCCTCTGTAACATATATATGGTTAAAGTGACTTCCCTTTAAACACCAAGTTGAAAAATAATTTAATATTTGTGAAATTTTTTTAATGCGGAATGTAAACATTCATCATCTTTATAATGTGGATTTTTAGTGTCAAATATATTTCAGCTGTTTTCTAGCGGACTTAGTCAGAATGGGAAATCAGAGAAGCAGGGAATTCTGGGCTTTCTTCCAAATGATATCATGAAAGAAGTAAAACGTGGTGCTAGACTGGTATGTTTTATATTAATTTTAATTGTAGTGTAATTTGTTAATAATTAGCCAAAACATTGTAAATGCATGTTATATTTTACGTTAGTATAAGTAATTAATATTCCTTTTAAAACATGAATAAAGTGTTGAGTATGAAGAGCATTTTAGGTTTGTTGTAATTTTCTTTAAAATAGACCCTGCTGGGAAATTTTAAATTAAAGAAATCACCGTGGTATTTCTGTCCATCTATCTGCCTTTTTCATGTCTCTTATATTCTGTAAACAGAATTTTCATGTAAATTGGGTCCTTTTTTAACCAATTTAAGACAATTTGCAACAGCTATGCAGCATCATCTAGATCTCATTTGAAGGTCAGATTGTTCATGGAACTTCGGTCTAATGTTTATAACATGTTGCTTTGCATTTAGATGATCAGCAAATTGCAGCCAAAAGTTTGCACTTATACCCCTCTTCAGGAAGTATATATATTTCCTACTATTTCTGAAAAAAATGCCACAAGTAAAGAAAGATCTTAAGTGGATCAGTATTTTTTGTAGTTTGAAATGATGATATGATACAAAGATGTTGTTGTGTCTAAATTTAAAATAGAATGAGCTGTTGTCTCTGTTTCTTGATTTCTCCCTATTTCCCCTCGATGATGTAATTTCCCCTTTCCACGGACAATGTAACAATTCTCTTATGAGTGAAAAAAATCCATGGTTTTAGAACCCCATAATTATGGTCCTTTATCTTTAGAGTCAATTTCGCAAAACTTAGAATAATCACTAACTATAATATATATATTTATATAATGCCCCTTCCCCCATCCCCTCCCCTTTTGGAAAATTTAATGCCACATGGTGTTAACTAGGGAATATATGGTATTTCAAATAAATTGCTATGTTCAAAAGAATAACATAGATCAAAATTTCTTATTGTACTAAATTTGTTCTCTTTCTCTTATAATCTAAATACTGCTTTGTTTGGAAAAAAGGAAAGCAACATTAAAGCTTTATTGCAGTTGGCACATTTATAAGAACATACTATTATCATAATAACATATTACAGTCTAACTTGCCCATGCGACCACGTGTATTAAGCGACTTTTGTCTTAAACGACCACTTTAAATTCCCCCCGATCATTTTCTCTCTATATCTTTAATGTATTAAGCGACTTTTCCTCAACGCGACCAGCGACCGCTAATTAGTCACCTAATTGACATCAATCTTTTCATTAAACGACCACTTTTACCTGTCAAGTAATTGTGTTTTTAGAGAACGCCACCTCGTTATGTAATCAAAACACAACAATAAACGTGTGAAAAACTCTATTTCCCATACCGTTTTAGCGTATGCAAATGAAGTTAAGTATACGCGTGACGTGTATTATCCAATAATATCGGATAAACAATGCAAAGCTCCGCCCATACTGAGATGGTGTATACGCTTCACTTGTTGACATTTAGACTGCATTGAATTGGCCTTGAACTTGATCAGCCATTAAATTAATCGTAACAAATAGATGTAGTTTGTTTATTTCAAATGAAAAAATGCACAACAGAAAACATCTTCACTAATAGGGTTTTCGTGTTGGAGACAAGGAAAAACAATGGAGAAGTTAAAAATTCTGGAAAAAATGTCAAACATGTACGTAATGGATCAAAACTGATTTTGTCAATAAATATCAGAAGGTTATTTTTACATTTGCATCCGTTTAGATTATCGGAGCGTACTTATTATTCAATATTTATATAAAAATGAAGTTGAAAAACAATCCTATCGAATAAAAAAGATGTCATTTATAAATTTTGACTTTTATATCATGCTGACTGTCTTAAGAGACCATTTCATTAAGCGACCGTTTTTGGTGTTTCCCTTGCCTGGTCGCTTAATACACGTTTGACTGTATATGACTTTATATTTTGTAGAAATGCAGTTATTGCAAAAAGGTTGGAGCCACCATTGGTTGTGTTTTACGCAACTGTAAAAAGATGTTTCATCTAGGATGTGGAAGAGATAATAACACCCTGCATCAGTATTTTGGTACATTTAGGTATGATTCTCACTACATGTTTGTCTTTTTATGAAATGAAATATTAATATCGAGTAATGTTAGCAGTATTTCCTAATTTCACTAAGTCTCAATTCAGATGGGTGGAGTCTTCAATGACAGAATTGTTGATGCATACATAACTGTATGATAATCGAATATGTGCATTTGGCAGCTGTAGCAAATTTAGCTCATCTTGTTATGCTCCTGTTACTGGATCAAATTAAGGACTGTCCTAGGTCTTCGACAGTCTCTTGTCAAATGAAGGCTCTTGTTAATATAATTAACTTATTATTTACTATTATTATGCCCCCGCCATGTAATGGCCGGGGCATATAGTGTTACCCTGTTCCGTCCTTCCGTCCTGTCATTCCGTCATCATCAGTTTCCGTTCATTATCTTAAGAACGGTTGGACACATTCAACTCAAATTTGACATATGGATATGTCATGAGAAAATACAGGTCAAGTTCGAATTTGGTCATAGTTCGATGATTTTTGGCAGAGTTATGCCCCTTTTACTTTGAAAATAATATGAAATTTCAGTTTCCGTTCAATTATCTCCCCAACGGTACGACACATTCAACTCAAACTTAACATATGGATATGTCATGAGAAAATACAGGTCAAGTTCGAATTTGGTTATGGTTCGATGATTTTTGGCAGAGTTATGCCCCTTTTACTTTGAAAATAATATGAAATTTTCAGTTTCCGTTCATTATCTCCCCAACGGTACAACACATTCAACTCAAACTTGATATATGGATATGTCATGAGAAAATACAGGTCAAGTTCGAATTTGGTCATGGTTCGATGATTTTTGGCAGAGTTATGCCCCTTTTACTTTGAAAATATTATGAAATTTTCAGTTTCCGTTCATTATCTCCCTCAAGGTACAACACATTCAACTCAAACGTGACATATGGATGCGTCAAAGGAATGCGCAGGTCAAGTTCAAATTTGGTCATGGTTCAATGATTTTTGGCAGAGTTATGCCCCTTTCACTTTGAAAGTAATATGAAATTTTCAGTTTCCGTTTATTATCTCCCCAACGGTACAACACATTCAACTCAAATTTGACATATGGATATGTTTTTGGAATGCCCAGGCCAAGTTCGAATTTGGTCATGGTTCAATGATTTTTGGCAGAGTAATGCCCCTTTCACTTTGAAAATAATATGAAATTTACAGTTTCTGTTCATTATCTACCCAACAGTGTTACATATTCAACTTTAATTTGACATATGGATATGTCAAAGGAATGGGCAGGTCAAGTTGGAATTTGGTCATGGTTTGATGATTTTTTGGCAGAGTTATGTCCCTTTCACTTTCAATAATATAGATACATCTTAGGAATAAGCAGTTTAATTTTGGATTTGGTCATGGTTCAATGATTTTAGACAAACTTATCTTTCCTGAATGTTGGAAAAATTTTGAACTTTCAGTTTCAGCACTCATTCTTTTAGCCATTATTTTGGCTACAAATAGGCAATATGCTATTTCTAAAAGGTTAAGACTGAATAATTTCAGTGCCTTGAACATTGTATGGAAATGGTTTGTGTTAACATTGAAAAGTTTTAAGGGCTTTGAACTTAAAATGAAAAAAATAATTAATGCACCATCTGATATTTTGGCTGCATGCGGGGGCATCCGTGGCATGATGACACATTTCTAGTTCAATATAAACAGAACTTAATAAATAGAAATTATCGATGGTCTTCAACACAGCAGTGTCAAAAATTCGGAGACAACTGTCTGTCAACATTTGGAAGAGACAAACAGTAAGTTGGTCCCAAAATCAAAGACGGCACTTTTGCGTCTGGTTTATGTGCTGAGAACGATATGCATTGATTATAAAAGGGAAACTAATCAATTGAGGCTACATGTGTACGTTTTATTATTAGCGAAATTGAAAATCTATCTACAAGCAATAAATAGCAAAGAAAGATGCCTTTTAGATATGAATTGTTTTGCAAAAGTTTTCAATTGATTGCTTCTGTAACTTTGTATAAGCTTAACATATATTCAATGGAAACTCTTAGATACCAGAACTATAGCACTTTATTATAAATCTAGCCAAATGAGCACACATTTCACAGCTGGTGCTTCCACCATATATAAGCCAATGGCGAAAAAAACCACCACAAAAACAGTAAATGTTTGTTTCATTTTAATGATGTTTAACTTAATTATGCCCTACTACTTAGGGGAGGCAAGAGGCATATACATTTGCCATGGCATTTTTTCCTTCTATAACAGGGGCCGATGTTCGGCCCCTTCACAATTCGAAATTGCACTTTTTTTCACAATGCGGCGGGAAAAAATTCACAATCTCAAAAGAGATTTCACAAAATATCAGGACTTCGACTTCGAATCTGTACTCCTTCTCAATTCATTGTTTACTTTCGGTAACACTTGATTTTTGCCAATTGCAAACACGTTTTAATCGAGTTAAATGTATTTGCGCATGTTTACCGGGTTGAAAATACCGGCTCAAAGCAGATTTTAGACTAGTCAGAAAATATAATCAAGCGTTCATTGCGTGACATTTCCGGTTTCAATATCAGGGTTTTCATTAAGATTTTGTGTAAGAGGCCAGAATGTGATTGAAGGAGGCCTGATAGGGGGGTCCGGAAAATTTTGAAATCCAGGAAGCAAAATCCTGCATTCTGAGCACTTTCAGGGCTACTTTAGCCACTCTGGTTTAGCATCATTTTTTGAAAAAAACACTATGGAAACTTCTGGAAAAGCTTAAAACAGGTGCACTGAAATATGCACTTCATAATTGTTAGTTGTGTCACTCACTATACACAGCTTTTAACAATAATGTTTTTCATTTGAGCTAAACCGTCACACCTATTTGCAAATTATAACTGTAGAAAGTTAATAAACAACAAGCCAAGATATACTTGATCATCATTATTTATAATCAACATCATCAATTTTCAAAGCCAAACATAAACACTTTTCATAGCCAACAATCATCATTTTACATACTCTCACATGATCACATTTTAACATTATTCAAAGTCAAGCAGCATCATTTCAAACTTCATATTGTTAAATATCATCAAATTTCATAGTCAAACATCATCACTTCAAATAGTAAAGCATCATCACTTCAAATAGTATGCATCATAATTTTTTATCATAAATCTTTAAAGCAAAGTATCATCAATTTTCATAGCAAAACTTCATCACTACAACTTTCACATAGTTAAACATCATCAATTTTCAAAGCAAAACATCATCATTTTTCATAGTAAAACATATCCAATTTCATAGCCAAACTTCATCAAATTTCATAGGAAAACATTATCAATTTAACAAAACATCATCAATTTTCATAGTCAAACTTAATCAAATTTCATAGTAATACATCATCAAATTTCATAGTCAAAAATCATCAAATTTCATAGTAAAACATTATCAAATTTCACAGCAAGACATCATCAATTTAAATAAAAACAAAACATCATCATTTTTCATAGTCAACACATCTTTTAAAATTTCTTTTATTTGAAACATAAATTTAAAATTTTTCATGGGAAAAAATTTCATCAATTCAAAGGGTCGACATCATAACCGGGCAGACTTCTTGACAAATTTTAAACTGTAATTTTTGGGCTGATTTGGGTTTTTTGGCAGTGGTTGTTTTAGGGGGGAAACCATCTTTGAGTGGAATCAAAAAAATTATTTTTTTTAAAAACAAGGGAAACTTTTTGTTAATTTTTGTTTTTGTTCAGTTTGTCAAAATTTCTTTCAAATGTCGGGCATTTTTTAAAGATTTTTAATACTATAGCATTATAAGCTTAACATTTAGTATAATGACTATGTGTTTTTGGTATAACAAGTGCAGAAATAATTTGTTTGGTATTATTTTGCAAGCAGATAGACTAATAATATCTGTCATATTTTGCGGTTCGGATCGGAATATCCGTCCCGAGGTGACCCGCCCATGGGCGGGTGACCGAGGGGACGGATATTCCAATCCGAACCGCAAACATATGTCAGATATTTTTTTTGCATATTCTACCATATTCCATTATATTTTAAATTCTTTATCTTCATTTTCAATGAAATTTATATCATTTCAACCGTAACTACTTTCATTCAACAGTGTATGAATTACAAAAATCATTCATAACGGTAAAATGACGTCATCTTTATCGTGCCATTGTACAGCACGCGACTCATCTGGAACCCCCCATGCCAGATGAAATTTCCGGCATGGGTAAAACTAACGGAAACGCCAGTCTGATATGCAAGAAAAGACTTTCAGAATTTTTTACCTAAATTTTTATGCTGGACACCATAAATTCAGTTTATTGATGTTTTAAAATACCAGTACCTTTACTGAAGCAAATGGTGGTTGAAATCCCTGAGTTAGCTTCAGTTTGGTCAGTTGATACCTGCAAGGTTTTCTTTGGGCCATATCACCAACAGAGGGCTGGACTGTAACTTTTTCCTGACTGGGAGTGCAGCTGGTTGCTAGGCGGAACATCTTGAGTGGAATCTAAAAATATATTTTGAAACAATAAACTTTGTGTTGAATTTTTGTATTTGTTCAGTTTGTCATATTTCATTCAAACTGTATGCAGTTTTTAAAGTTTTTTTTTTTTTAAATATTATAGCATATATACTTACATTTAGTATAATGACTATGTTAAATTGATATAACAAGTGCAGAAAATAATCAGTTTGGGTATTTTTTTTTTGCAAGCAGACGGACAAGACTTTAATTTTTTTATATTAATGTTAGAATTACACAGTCTAAAAATGTTTAATGCAGTTTATCACCCAGGAATACTAAGTCATTTTCTTATCTTATTCACAGTTTGTCACTACTTTGGTTGCCAAAACTTCTACCAGAATGAATCGGATTGTTTTTTTTATTTCTGAAATATCATGACTATACAATGACCAATCATTTATGTTTGATTCAATGCTTTATTCACAAGGCGCCTTGCATGTAAAATGTTTGTTCTGTTAATGTATACTTTCATAATCCTCTAATAAACTTTATAACGGCAGGGAAAATTACACTACTTTGACTCCACCCTTTTTAATCCAGCTATCATATAAATGCGTGTTGAGATTGAACTGTAACATGGAAATATATAAAGTTAACAACAATTGTGAACAAAAAAACTGTTTAAACATTTTTTTATAAATAAAATTCAACATATACAAAATACAAAAAAAAATATGTCAACTGGGCCCTCAAACTAACACAGCCTTGAGTTATTGATGAAAGTATGTGAATTGGCACAGAAAGGCTGAACGTACGTTTTGTTTATTTCAGATAGGTTTTTACAATTTTTTTCTTGTGGCAGCACGAAATACCCAAAATGAAAAATATTTTTTAAAATAATACGACTTAGCCAGCTATAATTAACTTTTATTCATTCCGTTGAAATGGGCAGTTGAGATATTTTAAGAAACTAAACTTGTGACATTTGCTGATGTAGGTTCATTATACTTGCAATTTAAGATAAAGATAATGGTAAATGCTATGATAATATTTGTTGCCTTCACTTAAATTTTAAGGGAATAATTTTGTTTGTAATTTTATACAAGGATCCGTCGTATTATTGATATGTTGTTATTAGAGGGCCGAGTTTATACAGGGCCGAGTTAACGCTTTACGAAATGTAATTTTACTAAAGAATAAACATTTGTCAACGGTAAACAATTGAAACTGCGAAAGATATTTTAACATGAAAAACAAATCGATATAATTCTTTAGAAAACTTACTTGATTTTGGTTGAAAATTAAAAAAAATCGTCGATTTTGCGATCTATTTTTCGTTTTTTGGTCGCCATATTGGATGTTTACGTGCCGCCAAGGAAGTGAACCGCAATTAGCGGAAATGCATAAAATTACCGAAAGGAGCGAATCGTAAATTTTCGAGCCCCCAAAGCAGTTTCCAAGTATTCATTTATGGTATCTACGGGATTTCTAGCCGGCCCAAAACGTGTTCTAGGCGGCCAATTTGGCCGCCGGCCGCCTCTTAATGAAAACCCTGAATATGTCACGAAATGGGAAATAAAATGCAAAACAGAAAACGCAAGAACAAAATTTCGGCATAAAAAACAAAAACTAGACAACCGGGCAGAAGTGCTACCACCAGATTCGGTTATTACAGAATCATGTCCTGTACCTTCGACCGCCATGATACAAATGATCGAATCCGATCATGGTAAAATAATGGTAAGAGCAGTTGAGAAACCTTGTCCTGTACCTCCGTCCCATGAAACGGGATCGCCACTATCGGAACAAATGACCGAATCAGATCATGGTGATAAAATAGGATAAAAAGGTGTAGAAAGGATACATACTCTCAGTCTCTGAACAGGACTATAATCAAATCATTGAAATTTTCAAACATGCAAAAGAAAGACACATTAAACTTTGAAAAAGCATGTCAATCAAACAAAATAGAAGTCAATTCAAGTCTGAAAAAATGCAATTACTGTTTTCAATTTACAGGTTTTTCACAATTTCATGACGCATCGCGCTTTTTTTCACAAAATGAACAGACCCAGGCCCCTTCACAATTTTGACAAAAAATGCCCTGTTTGCCATTGTCAGGCCTACTGATACACTGTCCTGCCATTGATAGACTGATAATTCAGTGAAATTTTGGATAGAGGGCATCAGTGTCCTTTTGGCACATTTCAAGTTTGTACTTTAATCAGTGCCCCGCATTTGAGAAATGTAATCTTGCTTATCGTTTCAGCTCATTTTGTCCAGCTCATAGAAACCAACAGGATGTACCCTCCGATGATGACCCGAATATTGTCTGCTCTATATGCATGAATACAGTCACTGCAAAGCCAAGTAATGATACAATACGAGCTCCCTGTTGTAGCAAGTACTGGTATCATAGGGATTGTGTTCAGGTAAGACAGCATGATGTCCAGCTAGTTTACAGAATGTTGGTGGTTCCACTCGGGTTCCCCTTGACGTCTGAAATAATATATCAGGTTTTTTTCTGTTTATTTTATGAATGAAAATTTGAATGTTGATACTAACATGGACTCTTTTATAGTGTTTTGTCAAACAAGAATAGATTTATAGAAATACAATAGATCCTTTTCTAACACTGAATAATTGATTAACAGAAAACTAAATTAATTAATATATTCAATAAAATATGAAAAAAATCACATAGTAACAACTTGCAGAATAGCATCTATTATATTAGCCTCTGGACTGAGATGGCTATATTCAGGGGGTCGAACGTATAGCGGTGCGATACTCCTTTAAGCGAGGTGATTTCATGCGATACGCCCTAATGGCGGATTTACCCGTGTAAACACACGTCAGAGTGAGTGTTTTTTTTTTAAGTATTTCATAAATCTTCGATTACAATTGCATATTTTGTATTGAGGATGTGAAGATAGGACCGACACACATTTCATCAAAATTACAGAGGCCTAAATTCATAACTAAAAAAGTTATTGAAGGTAAACTGACGGCAACTAATTTTGGGTCGGTGAATAAAATCGCTTAATGCAAGCTTATATTAATATAGTTAATTTCTTTTTCTTCTTTATTCTATAAGAGTAATCATAATTGAGTTGCATAGCAAGTACTTTTGTGCTCCGATATACATAGACGCTTACTGGTCAAAATATTTATGTGTACGCTGGATTTTGGTGCGATAAAATAACTGTACGCTGTTAAAGGTTCGATATTTTTCATTATCACATCTGCTGTACATGTTTTCCTATGATTATACTAAGATGTCTACCATATATTTGCCCGTATCCGGAATTCTGAAATCTTCTTCTTTCCTTAAAGATTTACTTGAAATTAAAGTTTTGTATAACCATCTATATGAGAAGGAATTTGACCAAAATATGTAAGAATGAATTTTAGAAACCTATTAAGAAATCTTGTATAAATTAACTCACTTTCAAAGCAGAACATTTCAGAAAAATAGCAGTTAATACATGTATGTTATATAAGGGCTGTTTTACTTCATGAGGTTCTAAGATCGTTTGTACATGCTGCTGTCAAACTGATATTTTTTCATATTATAAATAGAATTGAACATTTGAAACAACCTATAAAATACAGTGAAAGTACATTTCACTGCTGTTCTAGAGATAGAGACTGAGAACCAGGTGGTAAAAATCTTTAGGTGGTAAAATTCTTTTCTAAAATGTTGCTTAGAACAGGCTATTTTTTGTAGTATACATAATTGTGGCCTGTCAGGAAAAAACAAAAAACTACAATTTCAAAATTCAGTCAGTCATTGGACACCAAACAGCTCAGTGTCTTTCTTAGGAGCAGCTGATGCTCACATGTGCAAATACACAGTTGTAAATGTTGCAGAGCAATTAAAACATTACAAATTGATTAACAAACAAAACTACTGCCAGATAGGTAAAGTACCACAAGTACAAATGCTGACACATGTGCAAATAAACAAAAAGCTTTTGAGTATATAATACTAGATTGAGTCACACTGCTTATGGAGTAGTATATAAATAACACATGGGTTTGTGGGTTACAGTTAAAATATCATCCCAAGGAAAATACTGTTAGCCAAGGTGTTAGCCGAGGGAAACAGTATTTTTAGGAGGGTTGATATTTTTTTTCTGTTTCTCACAAACGCTTGTGTGTTATTTATTTTATTTCCCGAACAGATACTGTAATCTATAATACTTTTATTTACATAAAAAACACTTGCCCAGATTTTTATACTGTTAAAAAGTGCTGCTGGCCTGTAACAGTACAAATCTCTTGGTACACTTGCTTTAACAATAAGAGTAACTCCTAGTGGAAATGAATATTTACAAAAAAGTGAGGGGTGATGCTATACATTAAATGTTGCAGAGAAAGCCTAGTTTTAAAAGTAAAACTACTGGCAGATAGGTTAAATCACTAAAAGTATGAATGCTTTCATAAGCAAATACACAAAGCTGTTTGGTAACACTGGTTATGGAGTAGTATAGTTATATATTCAAAGCGACAGAGCTAATAAACATCAGAATAACTGAAATACAATGATGTGCTCTGTATATAATATATAACATCCAATCCATAGAGGAAATCAAACCAGTTTTTTTTTATATATAAATTTCAAGTTCCATTGCAAAAAAAAAAAAAAATGGAAAAAACAAAACGAATATTATCGTGACTATTGATTACTTGATAGAATTTCAAATTTCTGTGCATAACTTATCTCATTTTAATGATTAACCTCTGTGAGAAAAAAACATTTAAATTAACTATATCATAGTATAATACATTAATTGACACTGTTGTTTTAATTGACACTGTGGTTTTCATATGATTAACATACAAACTCAAAACTTGATATTTCATCAAAATTTGAATAAGACTGTAGTGTAATGAGGAAGTTGCTACAGAAAAACATACCAACATTTGTGCGTACAGTTGGTTTATCAGACCAAATATTAGGCGTACAGTAAGAAAACTGGAAATATTTTATATATTTTCGGATAGATATGGAAAACTACTCTTGTATATCGTTTTGTTTTCAAAATTAAACATGTTGGGACTTAAACTAATCGAATATCTCGTTTTAAAACGACTGTTACATTATTCGTTTGCATGTGCATATCAGGTTGACAGTTTGAATTTGCAGCAACAAATACCTCAATAACTTCCTCAATTCTATAAAATTTAGTATTTTATTTTGACAATCATGCACAATTATAAGTTCTGATCAGCATGCACAATGCTATTCTGAAAAAAATTACAATAGACACTAAATAATTGGAAAAAAACATGCTCATACCCACTTTCGTTTTCGCTCCCGTCCGCCATTAGGGCGTATCGCATGAATTCACCTCGCTTAAAGGAGTACCGCACCGCTATACGTTCGACCCCCTGATATTATGCCCGAAATAATGCACTGAGGGGTACCTGAGGTCTTCCTCTAGGAGCGTCCATGGCCGAGTGGTTAAGGTAGTTGACTTCAAACCACTTGCCCCTCACCGCTGTGGGTTCGAATACCGACAGGGACTTTGGATTCTTTCATGTGAGTCAGCTAGCTTACGGAACGACGGTGGTTCTACTCAGGTGACCTTTCATGCCTGAAATAATGCACGGAAGGGCACCTTAGGTCTTCCTCCACCAGTAAAGCTGGAACGTCGCGATATGACCTATACTGTGTCGATGTGATGTAAAACCCAAAAACAAAAAAAAGATCTTCCTCTACCACTTATACTCGAAAGTCACCGCATGACTTGTTGGTACGACGTTAAACATACACATAAAAAAGTTATGGATTTGAAGTGTACTGTGCTTGATAATTCTTTCATTCCAGGTTTATCATTATTGATAAGGGATCAATATTATTGGTTAAAATGCTGTTAAAATCTGTTGCATTTTTATCCTGTAGATTAAAATATCCTCCTTGACCCTTACCATATCTGTTGCCTCAGATAAAAATGAAAACCATGCAATCTTACTAATAATTGTTTGGATTAAAAAAATTACAAATTTAAAATTGTTATTTTACAGAGGTATGCGACTTCAGCTGGGTTGTATTTCTTCAAGTGTCCATTATGCAACAACAAGGATGAGTTCCAGAATGAAATGCTTACAATGGGTATATACATTCCTGACCAGTAAGTACCACTTACCTTCTGATTATAGTGGAAGGTACTCTAAGCATTTGCATAAAAATCTCTGAAGTACTAAAATACTCTTGCGTATTTTAAGGTGTTCATTTATAAGTTCAGACATTACTTCTTTGTTATGATTGTGGGTCAAGTCTAGAGTGGATTTTGAAGCAATTTTATGAATAGAACATTTCTGCAAGGTCCTTGATTCAAATATCCAACACTGAGAATAGTTATGGGGCATGCTCTTGTTTATACCATTAAAATGTGCCAAGGATAGGCACCAATTCTTTTATTTTTACATTTCTGTAAGTTAACAACTTTTTGCCAGAAATATTGAAAAATAGGAGGAAAGTGGCTTAGAAGGTTACTTGTCAGTCTTAAAAAATAATCATACATTGAATAACTGAATATGTAAAAAACTGGTTAAAAGAATTACAGCCTTTCATTTTTGTAGTGACTGTATTTTGTGTGCATGTGCTTAATGGCAAGTGTAAACAATTTTAGTTTTAAAGTGAAAAAATTGTGTCCATTTTGTAAGTGTTTGCAAAGTGAATTGCCTGGACTGTACAATTGCATAATATGATGGATGAGTTAAATGGAGATAGTCGGGGGATTGACAATGGAGAGAAAAATTCAGACAAAGCTAAAATGTTTGCTGACATTTAGGTTAATACTGTATATAAACATATTAATGACATTTACAGGGATGCATCATGGGAAAAGGAACCTCATGCTTTCCATGAACTGTTAGAACGTTACGGACATTGCGATGCTCCGGTTTGTAAATGTGCAGAAGGAAGAAAATATGATAAAGATGGGAGGTATAAATCAAAATTATTACCCTGCTTATTTAAGCTCTATTTATTTTTACTTAGTTGAAGAATAATGTGATATTCTCAAATGTATGTTGGCCTAAAACTTTGTTAAGGTCATGTATTATATGGCGTAAAACTTTGGTTAATACCTTGTTATATGGCACAAAACTTTGTTGAAGGTCATGTATTTTATGGCACAAAATTTGGTTGAAGGTCATGTATGTTATGGCACAAAATTTGGTTGAAGGTCATGTATGTTATGGCACAAAATTTGGTTGAAGGTCATGTATTTTATGGCACAAAATTTGGTTGAAGGTCATGTATTTTATGGCACAAAATTTGGTTGAAGGTCATGTATTTTATGGCACAAAATTTGGTTGAAGGTCATGTGTTATATGGCACAAAACTTGATTTCATGTCATGCATTACATGAGACAAAACTTTTTTGATTGTCATGTGTTATATGGCCCAAAACTTTGTTAAAGGTTGTGTATTATATGGCACAAAACTTGATTTCATGTGATGTATAATATGGCACAAAACTTGATTTCATGTCATGTATTTTATGGCACAAATCTTGATTTCATGTCATGTATAATATGGCACAAAACTTTGTTAAAGGTCATGTGCTATATGGCACAAAACTTGGTCTTATTCCATCTGTAATATGGCACAAAACTTGGTTAAAGGTAATGTTATATGGCACAAAACTTTGTTTGTACATATTTAGTACAATTATTTGCCTTATTTTAGTTAATAGTTCAAAGACTTTAAGGTTATTATGCACAATAAAAATGACTATTATATGAAAAGAAAAGGTAGAGGAAATGATTTGAATTTTGGATATACATTATTGGTATTCAGTTGCCACCAGCAGGTTCACTATTAAATCACTATTTCTCCTTTATTTCAGTAAATGGGAGATAATTCTGTGTGAATTTTGTGGGTCCCATGGTGCGCACGTGGCTTGCAACCATTTGGAGAAACTTGGGAAGCATGATATATGTAAAGGGTGCAAGGATGTTGATGAAAAAAGTAAGTGCTGTATTTTAGAAGTAAATGTAACCGTTTTCTTGTATAATTCTGAGCCCCTGAGACAAATCAGCAATAGTCATTAGAAATGTTAACAGCAATTGTTTGTTCCTTATTGCATAAATTAAACCAAATACCTACAATCTAAACAATAAAAGAATGTTTTCAACAAAAAGCTTGTATCATTTTTGGGCAATATGGCTAAAATGTTTATTATCAGCAATATGGCTAAAATGCTTATATCAGCAATATGGCTAAAATGTGTATAATCAGCAATATGGCTAAAATGTTTATTATCAGCAATATGGCTAAAATGTGTATTATCAGCAATATGGCTAAAATGTTTATTGTCAGCAATATTGCTGAAATTATTAAATTTTGGTTACAAATTACATAACAATAGGACAAAATAAACCCTATACATTTTTTCTGTAATATAGCTCGGGAAGAAGAATACCTGTTACATTCACCACCAAACAAGAGAAAGTCATTAGAACTCCTGCAGCTTGAACTCGCTTCATCGCCAGAGGCTTCAAAAGGTGCTAGTCCATATCCAGGACCATCCAGTGCAGTGAAGAAGTTAGGTCTGCCAATGTCCCCGACTGCAAACGCAAAGAAAGGTAAAAGATATGCGGGCAGTGAAGCGAGACACAGTATGGCACAAGCAAAGAAGTCGCGGCGGTTATCGAAAGCGAGTGCAACAGTAACATCAGCATCTTTAAAAGATAAACATTCAGAGATATTGTCCAGCAGTATGTCTAGTCAATCATCCGAGGAGTCCAGTGATGATGATCTGCAATTAAGTTTAAAGAAATCAAAATTGAAAAAGATGAAATTAGAGAATGCATGGGATGTGATGCGACGGAGAAAGTTAGAGTCAGACAGGAAGATTGCAGAGAAAAGGGATAAGAATAAGAATATTAAAACTGAAAGGAAAAGAAAAACGGATGCAGTAAAAAGAAGGCAGGGTGAATCATCTAAGGTTCTGACGCTAGAGGATACTGGTAGAAACCTGAAAAATGGAGAAAATGAACATTGCTGGACAAACGATGGGGATAAAAGCGATTTTTCAAATCTAACTGATCAGAGAAAAGACATGATGAATAAACGCTTGTCTTTAGCTGTTACAAAGTCAGAAAAAGGGACACAAAGTGAAGAAAAAATGTTTAAAGGACGTTATAGCATATCTCCATGTGCTGGGACATCAACAGTAAGCGGCATTGATAAAAATAAGAAAAGGAAATTGAAAAGGGAATCATTGGAAAATGACAAGGGACAGACTACGTTGACAAATTGGTTAAAGCCCAAGACACCAGAGACAAAAATAAAACCTCCAGCAGCAAAAGACAATTTAAAAGATGAAAACACAGAACAAGCTTTAAATCGAACACCAACTAAAGGAGGTAAAAAGCCGGTAATTATGGAATGGAAAGGAAAACAGTTGTTGATAAGGTCGCCAAGAGTTTTATTGAGAAGAAGCAGAAGTCGAAATGTGGTGACAATGAAACCGAAATGTCTAGAAATAGATATGACTGATGATAAGGGGAGTGTAGACTGGAAGAATGACATAGATCTTCTCTCCAACATTGAAAGTGATGTGAGAGTAACAAGAACTATGGTTGATATTGATCAAATTGAAGTTGCTAAAATTTCTGCAAAGAAAGGGAAACAAAGCAGCGGTAAGAGTAGTACTGTAAAAAAAGTTGCAAGAAATGAAAGCATGGAAACTAAAGTGTCAAATGCGAATGATAAAAGATCTTTATTGGTACAAGAAGAAGATGAAGGAGAAGCTAGAAAAACTGAAATGTATGTTAAAACAAAAGCATTACTTGGGAAATCTGTCAAAAATGAACGTGATTTTGGCAGTAAACCTGATTCAGGAGTAGATATTCACGATACACAGGTGAACATGAAAAGAGAGGACTCCCCAGCCAAAAATTTGAGGGTTCGGACTGGTGGTGATAAAACAAAGACAAAATTGGTTAAGGATCAGGGTAAAATTCATATGGATACTCCTGTTCATGCTAACGATAAGATATCTGTAAAATTTAAGCATCAGAATTCAGCACCGATTAACATAAAAAACTCGCCAGCTAAAAGTTTGAGACCTCGTCATAAAAAAGACAAGGGAAAAAACATTTCAATAGAAGAAATTGGAAGCATTTCAGAACATTATGTAAAAGAAAATGAGCTCACCCCTACATTGCAAACTGGAAACTGTTTTAATTTTGCAGTACAGAAAGACAAAAGCTTGAAAGAGGAAGGGTCGCCTTACAATGGAGGTTCACCTTTAATTAAAGTAAAAGATTCTTCACAGTTCGGATCAGTGATTCTCATAAATGACACTTATGATCGTAAAGTTAATGAATCTGTGGATGAAGCCAAGATCAGTCAGGATAATTTGGAAAGGTTGAAAATGTATAAACCAGTTGCTTTATCTGATTCACCAGCTAAAAATCTAAGGAAAAGGAGTCATCAGGCTGATAGTACTAAAGAAATTAATGTGCAGAAAGAAGATTCTGATAATGATCGATCTGTCAGTGTTGATCATTTGGAAAGGTTAAAAAAGTACCGGCCAAAAGTTGACTATATGAACTTTAGTGATACAGGTCAGTCGTTTGCAAGTATTGACCAAGCAGCAATTGACAATAAAAATAATGCTTTAAAAGAGAGTCAAACATTTACAAAGTGTGTGAACAAACAAAAAGACAATGTAGCTCAACATGCAAGTGTTCTTTGGCATCTTGAAGGAACTCGTCAGCTTATTAATGAATCAGTGAATGTTGTCACAAAGCCTCACGATTTCGGCTGTGAAAATACTTGTCCAAATCTTCAGTCTGCTACAAAGGGAGGTAACTCTGCTCAGGGCACAATTAAATCGACACAAAGCAGAGGTCTTGATTATTCGAATATTCTAGGAGAAAAAGTGAATGAACTCAGTGATAAGCTTCCAACGTCTGTTACAAAGGTCTATTCTTCCAATGAGCAGAACAGTGTGGCAGATTATCCTCCACAAACTTTATTAACAAAACATATACGGTCAGGTTCTAGGCCTGAAAGCTTGGACTCTGTGTTCTCCAACAATCCTGCTACAAAGCTTAGAAGCAGTCCAAGATCTTTGAAGAAAATGTCCTCAAGTGCATACAAGAACACTCACATGCAGAATAATGTGTCATTAGGGGAATATAAAGAAGTGAGTGTGGACCCAATTATGTCACAAACTTCATTTCCTGACAAAAGTGTTCCCAATAAAAATGATGCGCAGTGACCAATGTTGTGAAATAGACTGTATAAATGAGTTAAAAACAATCAGCGTTAACTAAGAAGCATGTCCCAATGATCTGTCATTAGAACTCTTTTCACGTCACTTAGCACAATAAATAGTTCACATGTCCATAAAACATCTATGGTGAATATTAGGTGTGAGTTAAACGCAGAACTGAACGAGTGTTAATGATGAAAGTGTGTTAGAGACTGATATTCAATTTAGTGATGCGGACAGTGATATCGTTGAGCTACCAATGCTAGGCAGTGTTATGTGATAAGAGTGTTTGAATATTGTATACGTATATGTCATATATGAAACATTTTTATAGAATTATTTGTTGTCTAAAACTAATTCTTATCTTTTTTTTCTTCTTTTTTTAAACTGAGATCTATCTTTTGAAATTTTTTTTTTGCAAAGAGATATAAGGGCCTTGGAGATACTGATAATTACATGGAAATATGCGGCTTTTGTTATAAAAATATTTGAAGGTGCTAATTTGAAAATTGATACAAAATGTAATCTATAATTATTTTTTTTTTGCATTTTTTGGTTTGATATTTGTTAATAAGATTAAGATGTTACTAAGATGGATTTTTGTGTAAACTATGATACTTATAAGTATGTGTTTTAACACAAGGAAGATACACTTGGCATTTTGCTCAAAATTGTTGACATTACTTGCATGTGTTCAACACTTGTGTATTTAGTTTGAACTTAAAACTTGTGATATTTGTTTTTGCACTATGTTTGGTTCAGTAACTGAGAAGTGTTATTAAAATTATGCAATATATTTAGGTCACTTTGATAAATTTCTGAATATTCATGAGTTTTTAGCTCGACTTTTCTATGAAAAGGGGAGCTATCCTACTCGCCCCGGCGTCGGCGTTAGCGTTGGCGTCACACCTTGGTTAAGTTTTTCGTACCACCCCACTTTATTTCAGAAGTATTACAAGTATGGCTTTGAAACTTACCATACTTGTTCACCATCATAACCTCCATCTACAGACAAGAGTACATAACTCTGTCAAGGTTTTTGACAGAATTATGGCCCTTTTTTGACTTAGAAAGTGTATTGAGCTTGGTTAAGTTTTTTGTAGCCACCTCACTTTATTTCAAAACCATTGGAGGTATTGCTTTTGAAACTGACCATACTTGTTTACCATCACGACCTTCATCAACAGACAAGAGGACATAACTCTGTCAATGGTTTTTGACAGAATTATGCCCCTTTTTGACTTAGAAAAATACATTGAATATGGGTAAAATCCACTTATTGCCTTAACCCTTTGAGAATATTGCTTGAAACTTTAATTGCATTCACATCATTACCCCATCCATCTGTAGCGCAAGAGAAGGAACTCTGTCTAAGGATTTGTTTTAAAAAATAAGAGCCCATTTTATCGGACTTAAAATCTGGGTAACTTTTTGTACCAGTCAACTTTTTGACTGAACTGGTGAGATATTAAATTGAAGTTGGAATACTGTTTTACCATCATAGGCCCAGAACAGGCAAAGGAGAAGGTAATTCGTAAAGGATTTATTTGAATTATGCCCTTTTGACTTAGAAACCAGTAAAATTTTCATTCTTGTCCACGTTGTTGACATTAACCATTTGAGATAATACTTTGAAGTTGAGTTCTTATGTGCCACATGAACAATAATCCTGTAAGCAAGGAGAAGATAACTCCGTGAAAAGTTCTTGATTTGTACTTAGAAAAAATTCCTAGTTAAAGTCTTGTGTGCCCTTAACTGTCAAAGTTTTGTTTTATAGGCAAGCACTAAAAAAGTCGAGCGCGCTGTCCTTCTGACAGCTCTTGTATTATGAATTCTTAAATTGTTTGATATTTGTTGTAATTCTGTAAAATTGGTTACAGATTGTATTGTGTGAAATTATTTTTAAAAATTTACCATACATGACTTTGATTTATAAATTTTTGACTTGATAAAATAAAAGATTTAACTTTATGAAAATAGATGATAATTTAAACATTGTTTATATGTAATACAAATTATTGTTGCAAATAGGGATTAATTAGGAAGAAGTTAGTTTGTTTGCATGATTTTTTTTTTGCATTTCATTACTTGCCTTTGTCAATAGATGTTTGAGTTATATTTAAAGCCTACTTATTTTATGAATAGTTTGAAATTATATTTTTTTATGTTTTGTGCCTTCTTTAATTTTTTAGGGTCAATAGAAAGTAGGGCTGTCATTGAATATGGCAATATCGATATATCATCAATATTCATCATTGGTTACATTATCGATTCACACTTTAAAAGTATCAATTCAAGCTTAAATTTATTTATTTCTCTTTGGGAATATACCTTAATAATTTGCCTGATAAAAGAAGTCACTTTTTTACAGTTTCTTGGCTAACTTGAATGTCAAACTCCATTTTCAAATGTTAGTGACAAAAATATCAGAAACAACAAACTTTCTGTTAGTTTGTCTCTCGATATATTGATACAAAATTTTCCATCTATGGCAGCCCTTATAGAAAATAAAAATTTCCGTTTCTAAAAAAAAATCCGGTCCAAAAGTTTTAAAAAAAGAAAGGGTTTTTTTTTGTAGGACATAAAAAATTGGTATTATATTTCCCGCCTCTACCACCATTCCCCTAACAGTAAGAAACAACAACACTGCCCTTATATTCTTTTCAGACTATTAACTAGACTGTCACACGATTATCATATGGCTTTATAATCTTGTGTCACCCTCTGCAGTTGGCCTGCTTAGTTGTATTGGTTTAGCATTTTAATAATAACATTGTAATTTTACTGGACATATTAAAATTAAAATCACAACAAATTTATTCAACACTTTATTTGAGTCACTATTTATAAATTAATGGAATTGTTAGAAATTAATTACCAGGTGCAACTGAAATGAATAATAGTAATTTTATCCTGTACATTTAGGACCAGTATTTATAGTATTGGACAGAATTTTCGAGAATTGAACATATTTGACAAGCATTGAACCAATATGGTATTGGACCAATATTTCTAGCATTGGACCAATATGTCTGATATGATAAGACAATATTTTCTTTACATGTATATTAAGCATTGGACCAATATTTCTAGCATTTAATCAATACTCGTGCTATTGGACCAATATTGAAATCATTGGACAATGTATTTAGCATTGGACCAACACATGTATATGTCAAGTATCTAGCATTGGATCTTTATGTTAAACATTGGCCCAGTTTCTCTTGCATTTTACAAATATATCTAGCATTTTGACTTGTTACATGTATGTAATAATTTCTGTTTGTCAGCTCAGATTATAACATAGATGAGTGATTGAATCAAAGTAATTTTTATGTGACAGAATCTTTTGTTATTTATAGTGCACGTATGAATTCCTATAAATAAAATCATGTAAAACTACACATCTTGCAGTATTCCTTTCTCAAAGACTTGGTAAATGAAGTTTCTATTGAAAAATTGGTAACTTATTTTGGACCTCTGTGGACATGCTACAAGGCAATAAACGATAAAAGAATTAAGTATATCTGAATTAATAAGCAGTTGCTAATGATATTTCTGTATCGTGATTTAACGCTGAGTTTTAGCAGTGCAATAATTTACCTATGACATGGCGGGCAGGGTAAGGCCTCTATTTTGAGTAGATGACCCCTTTTGGGTCAAGGTCACATTGGCATTTTATACCAAAACTGTTTCAAATCAATTACTCCGCAGCTTATAGAGCTTTCACTGGACAAATTTCATGGGCGCATTGGTCATTCCAGTACCTGACCTCTATTGATTTTTGGGTTCAAGGTCAATGTTACATTGATATTTTATATCAAAACATTTTCCGACCAATTAATGGCTCTCAAATGTCACGGGTACATTGGTCTGGGACAGTAGATGACTTATTTATTCCGAGGCCAAGATACCCATTCACCTTGTTTGTCCAAACGGTTTCCAACCAATAACTTGACAACCCAATGCAAAGAAAGACGACGACATAACTTTAGCAAGATTTGAGGATTTAAAATAAAACAGCATTAAACGAAATACAGCTTTAATATACATATGGGAAGGTCTGACATCTATTTAATTATACTATTAAACTAATATAACTATTTTTAGATATACAAGGTCAGAAAGAAGAATATAGTAGGCTAAAATACATGTACTTATTACACAATGTCTGTAAATAGCTTGTACATGAATATGTTATATAGAGTACCATTAAATTACAAATCATGATGAAAGTAGTAAATGAAGCAAGTTCTTAAAAAAAATAAGTTATGGTCGTTTATTAAGAACCTTAATTATGTGCTAGGAGTGGTTAAAAAATCTTAATGTTCGTATAGGCCCATTGCACGATGACATCACAAGCACCTGCTACCAGAATTTAGCAGATTTACCGGTTGCCAAGAAGAACCAATGTTGATAAACATTATATAGCAGCAGAATTTTTAAATTCTAATAACTTTTTTATTTGTGGATCGATTTTTTAGATTCTTATACCATTTGAAAGTTCTTTACATTCATATTTTTAAATAAAAGCGGTTTATCATTTTTTGCTTTAAAAAAGGAAAGCTCAGCTATTTTTCAACTGTTATTTCAATAGTTTTCTAGCACTAAGTTTATTTCTTTACCAAGAAAAAATGAAAATTTATTTGTTAATTTATTTTTTAATGTATAAATAATAAAATATGAGTAAAATGACCATTCTAATGATATAAAATACTAAGCTGTTTCATGAAAAATAAGTTTGTTATTATAAATATACTCGTGAAATTACTATATTTTGCATTTTATCAGCCACCATATTTTGCCAACCATCCGAAAGTTACCTGTATCTCTTATCAGTAATTTGTTACTATTAACAGATTTCATAACAATAACATGCAAAGGGCATATTCAATGCAAGATTTTTGTCTCCTTAAAATGGTTCATATCAGTTCAATTTGTTCACAAAACTCTGAATGGTAGATTAAGTAGTAGATGCTCTGAGAGTATATTGTATCAGCTTGAGTGTTTTAAGTTCCCAGATTATTGTACTCACAATCTCTCTTGATTTAAACATGTATGTTAGCTAGCTATACATGTCAACCGTCTCTCAATTTTCCGATTTAAGTTTTTCCGTTCCCCTTTGTTCTTCTTCTTTTTTATCCATCATATGGTCCATAAAATCTTCTGCAAAATTCAAAATTTTGCGCAAAGCCAACAAAGCCAGGATGCTTATATTTTCATCGAGCTCTTCTTCGTTCTCGTAATTCTTTATCGGAAGAACATTGGCGCGCGGAAGTCCGAGAAGTTGTGAAGCTTTACCCACGTGTTCCTCCACTTCCGGACTCTTAAAGACCAAAGACACATCTTGTTCGACTTCTTTACTGAGTTTATCTACCTTCGTAAGAAGAATAATTTGTGGTATTCCTGAAAAAAAGCTGATTATGATAAAATAGATAAACAACAAAATATGAAAAAAATAATCATATATCTGACGGTTAACATGAATAACGTATGTAGATATCATGAAAAAAAGGATTGCTGATTTAATTTACGTAGGAAAAAAAGTACTGTTTTCGACACGAATATATCATTTTAGATTTATATGCTCCAGCTTGGCCTACATTTCATAGAAAAACTCAAGATATTAAAACTTCAGGACTTCTTGGTTTGTTAAAGTATTACTGTCTTTCTAGTTCGCTGTTAATCACCTGTTTTTTATGCCCCCACAAACTGGGGAGCATATAGCGTTGCGCTTGTCCGTCCGTCCGTACGTCTGTCCGTCCGTACGTCCCGTACGTTCTGGTGAACGCAACTTCTCTTAAACCGGATGGCAGATTTAGCTTAAACTTCCAGGGATGAATAACCTTAATGTGTAGATGGTAGTAAAGGAAGGTATTTTGGCTGCGACCAAATTTAAGAGAATTATGGCCCTTTATTGATTTTGTCCAGAATAAAAAGTTCCACATAACAATCTTACATGCAGATATGCATGCTCTTGTTGACGAGCACATCTGCACAGCGGGGGCATCTGTGTCCTTTGGACACAGTTCGAGTTTATTTATGACTAAAAGGTTATTTCTATTTTTATTATATATCTTATAGACTATAACTGGTCATGTTTAAAAAACTTTTTATCTATCGATATATCACGGAATTTTACCATAAAACTAGTTCCAATAGTCTAATTTGTTTCAGGAAAAAGCCTCAAACCCAACAAGAAATTACATTACCTTTCTGATTCATTATATTTTGAAATGCTTTCATTTTTTCTATGATTTTAGATGTTAATATCTCCAATGTGCTGGCGTCCAAAACAAAAACTGCACAGTGTATGACGTCATCCGCGGTAGGACATGCAATGAAACCAGGCGTTTTTGGTGTTATCTGAGTGGTTGGATTGAACTTAAAACAGAACACCAAATATGTCAGTAATCGCAACATGCATATACTATTTTTGAAACCATGCTACATATACTTCATTTTTATTAGAATATTTGATCATTTGAAGTGATTCCTACTAAATATTGTCAAGAAATCATACCGATGGCTGCAGATTAAAAACTAGTCAAATTCAAACACCTTCCTCCCTAATTTATAATCTGACCGCCAATTAAGTGTCCTGCTTTTACTTAATAAATTACTTAATATTGCTTTATCATTTGCCAGAATAATGGAAGGAGCTTTCGTAAAAATATCAATAAGAACAGTATCTTATCCAATTTTTTAAATACCTGATAATAATTTGGTATGTTCCCATCCAGCAAATAGTTACACTCGAATACATCCAGACCCTGGGATTCTTCTAAACCACGTGTGTCACATAACCGGAAGTTCAGTGGCGCCCCAGACTTCACCTTTACCTTGTATTGTGTGTACTGAAGCATAATTATTTTGAAATATTCATCGGACTTTAAATAAGCAATTAAACAAATATATACTTTAATATATAAATGTGGTGTTTAAGAACTTTACTTATTAATAGCCTGGCGGGAAGATGAAGCGTGAAGAGAAAAATTAATATGTAAAGACGGGGAAATTGTTATTCTTTATCATTTTGCCTTTGATCTACAATTTCAGATCAATCAAACATTTCCGAATGCACACAACCTTTAATTCATACTGTTTCCTTAAATAGAGAAAAACAGAATCCTGTATACTAATTAAGTCTTAATTAAACAAGAAATGTCAAAATGACACATTTGTCCCATCCCACAAGATTACCTTTAATTGGTAGTAAGAATAAGTAACCATAAAATCACAGTTAAACTGATTATTTAATACAGTAGTATGTGTTTATGAATAAGAATAGAAAACACAATTATCTTTTAGCAGGTTTACAACAATGGTAACACTCAGTCATTTCTAGTGAAATGTGATTCAAGGTCAATGTGAAATCGACCTTGACCTTTGGTTCCCTGCACCTTAAATCAGTAGGGTCATCTTCTAGCCATTATCAATACACATGTGCAGTTTGAGGGCCAAGGGCACATGAGATGTCGGAAACGGCTTTTATATACAAGGTATATATGGCCAAGACTAATTGATCTGTCATTTAGTTTGAGGGCGAAGGGCTTATGGGTAATAGAGTTATTGGTTGGAAACCGTTTAGAGATAAACGATCAATGTTACGTTGACCTTTGAACACTTGACCCAAACAACCAAAAGGGGTCATCTACTTGCCAAAACCAAAGCATCCGTGCTAAGGGTCCCTTACGTTTTTCGAGTTATTGGTCGGAAACGGTTTTGAAATAAACGTCAATATTACATTGACCTGGTGACCCCAAAACAATAGGATTCTCAATTTGACCTTGACCCAGTCACCACAAAAACAATAGGTTTCTACTGGTCATGATCGATATTAATTCCAAATTCAAAGTTCCTAGTCCCAGGCGTTCGTAAGTTATTGATCGGAAACGGTTCGGTTTGGTGTAATAAATTAGACAATAATAGCTTAAGACAACAGAGAGAAACTCTTCAAGGTCTTATAACCTTGACTTTGTTATGGGTCTCCAACCTTTCAAGAGAGTTGGAGTTGCATATTTTACACCGCTTGAAATTTGAACAGAAAACAACAACATTGTGACCATCATGAGCAAAAGAAAATGCATTTTTGCTAGACCAGGGAGTAATATTTTAGGGTATAATTATTTTAGTAGAATGATAGAATGTACATTTATAATATTCACAAAGTGTACATATGTTCTTAATAGTAAACTAAAGATGAAATGGGTCAAAAGTTTGGATATGAAAAGTTATAATGTATGTAAAAGTACAAGTCCGATGATACTGTTATATGTTCTTACCAGATTCAATTAAACATCCTTTATGCAATTCGTAAAGTAAGCGGTTGTACAAGACTTTCACCTTATTTATTGGTATAAAAAGAAAGAATGATACTTCGTTTTTAAAGCACTTAATCTACTTATTATTTCATTTGTCTAACGATTGCGTTAACAAATTCGTGGTCCAAATATCTTTAATACTCACAGCAGTCGTAAGGCTTTGCTCTGCGCTACCACTCCGCGCCTTCTGAGTAATTCGACCTCGAAATATCGAATTGATAGTGTTGAAAAAACTCGACTTTCCTGCACCAACTGGCCCAATGATCAAAATCCGGGCATCTGTCACTTTCAAGTCAGGGATTGGTTTGAATGATACAATATCCTCCGTAAGCTCATTTAAAAACTGAAAGAAAATTGTGGTGTCGAAAATATTATTATACCTACAAAAACTCATAAAGAAACGGTTTTGAGATATGTCAAATCATGCTGTACAGTATTTGGTTTGTTAGCAAATTAGCAATTTTGTCACATGAAATGATGTCTATTATAGAGTTTAGTAGGTTTTCTTTTTCGAATAAAGTACAATTCTTCATACTTTTTATCAATCATGGATAACCCAAATGTATTTTCTTTGTTTATTTTGTTCAATATGATCAGATATAACAAAACTTTATGCTTATTTTAACTCGTCACTTTCTTTATACATTTCAAATACGAAAACAGCGAGTATACGCAATGATACCTGATACAAGATCGTTATACAAAACTGATTTTATTTTAAAAAACACGCATGACTTTACAAGTTCCTAATATATTAATAAGCTTAATATAAGAATAAACTTATAAAATATTAAGATAACCTGTTCATTCCAGCTTTTTATCTTTCGCCATGGTTTCAAATGCTCTTTCTTTATAGGTTTTGACCTCTTCCCATCTTGATATGTAATTAAACGGAGAGAAACATACGAAATATTTGAAACTTACTATATTAATGACACACGATATAATCATCATCAAAATCACCGTTAGCATGCTAATACTACCACAAAGATACTTAACCTTAAGTATATATGTTTTATTATTATTCATTATGAATTTTAATCGAGTTTAGGCGAATTTCCGTAAATTAGGAATATTATCAATAAAGTGTCTAGTATTTGATGTTTGTCAGTTTATATATCATTTATGAAAAATAGACAGCTTGAATAATTGTTTTGCAAAGGAACAACATATAAGTAATCGAAATTGTTTAAAATTTGAATATACCAAGCAACCTGTAATTTCTGTTTCGCACGATATCAACAATTTGCATGTTTAAAATAGATAAAACACAGCTTACCTTCGACTTTATAAACCTCTAACTCGGTGACGTTCATGTGACCATTATTAATTTGGTCTGCAGTAACACCTTTATTGTCGTAGGAATACCCAATGTTCATATGACCATTGAGAGCAAAGTAGATACCTGAGCTGTTAACTGTGTTTTGGAAGGTCCTGAGGTCATTACCATAACCAAATAATGGGCCGTAAGATGAATTACAGAATAAAGCATTCTGAGAATTTCCAGATTTTATCGGAAATTTATTAGGTTTTTCATTCCCATTAAATCGTAACTGATAAAGGAAAGCGGAAGTGTCGTTCATCCATTGCTCATTACTATTCCAGCTTACTTGTACATAACCACCATACACTGATCCTTGTGGGTTATACAACACTGTGACTGTAGGTCCCTGATTGTCACATTTCTGGTGGAACGTTGTCGGGATACATCCATCTCTTGTAATGGCGTAGAGAAGTTTAAATGTTTTAGGACCTGTACCTATCCATTGCTCCAGCTGGTCCATATCATTATCTGTTAACTTCCCGTCCATTTTGGTACAATGTGTAGACTGAAATGAGCGTTCTGTTCATTAATTACCACAATTAATTAATTACCACAAGTCATTTATTTTATATTATCAAAAATTTGGTTTGTTAAGTAAGCATGTCATATTATGTTCTTTCAATACTGCATTTGTCGAGAGATTGATATAATATATACACATCTATTTTACATATAATGATATAGATTTCTTTTTGTTTTGTTGCTTTTCCTTTCCTTCCTTTTTTTCCCTCTCAAAATTTTGTGTTTATGAATTCAATGCCTTGGGCTCTATCACAAATTTTGTTTACCCGGATATTTAGTAACCTTTGTTACTAAAACGGTTTAACTTTTATATAAAATTTGATTTGAAAACTTTTGAAATCATTCTGATTCATTAAGTAAGTGTAAAGATGACAACAATGTCAACATCAACGTAATTCAAATTGTTATATAGTTAGACGCATATTTACCTCTTCATTTTACTTTATTTGTTTACAATTGTTAGTTTTCTGATATTGATACAGTCATTTTAAGTCGAAGAATTCTCTCTCTCTCTCTCTCTCTCTCTTTCTCTATTTATATTTTCATTGTTATTTTAAGTCAGAAGTCGATAATCTTCAAAAGAGCAAATTTGATTTAACCAAAGTGTTTCAGAACGTATAACAGCAGAATTTAATAGTTTTGGCTTGTAAAATGGTACAAGGTAACATTTCTAATTACCTCCCTTTATTTACATGAAATGTTAAATTCGGTAATATCTTTATAAATGATGCTTTTTGGAACAAAAAGTATTCATAAATCTTAATTTGAGCATCATATTTATTATATAAAACCATAAAAATGTGTTACAGGATCTTTAAGCTATTAACCCCTAAATATAAAAAAATATATTTCTAAACAATCTGTTTTCTTCGTGTACTGTTACAGTTTAAAGAATGTATTCATTGACCAAATAGCTGACCAATCTTTTGTATTATTTTTTTTATTTAATACAGTTTTAGCGAATGGAAGTCAAAACACCACTTTATTAACATTTGACTACTTTTATGACAAATTATTACACATCCAGTTCTACTTTCCTAATGTGATTATCCTCCAAAGGGATTATTGTCCCTTTAAGATAACTGAATTTGAGCTAAACGCATGTAGAACGTCAGTTGTCATAGACTATAATTGCTGTTTTTAGGTCAAACTTATCGTCAGTCATATTTTCTACTTTCGCTTTTAAACGATTCAAGATCTTCTTCCGATTATTGTATATACTTTGATATTTGAATGAAGAAATGATTATATATATGATAATTTTAACACAGATATAATTAAAATCAATATACATGTTCATGACTATGAACTGTAAAAATAATACAAATAGAATTTAAACAAAAAGTACAAACCACTTAGTCTGCTCTATGTAGAGGATGTGTCCTACAAATAAATGACCACTGTACATAATGTGTGCAACGTAAACTAATTTGAATGTGTGATTATTGAAAGGACCCTGTGCACTACAGTTATTATTTACATGTATTAATACCATTATGCAAAATTAAGTTAAACTACAATGTCTCTCTATGTCTCTGTCCCATTTTTGTTATTAAAAGAATCGCAAAAGAAGACAAAATACTGTCAGAAATAGTAATAGTGGATGTATATCATACTTTTTAGATTGGAAAATAGGGCCGAAAGTTTGGCCCTTTTAAACACAGAATTGTACTAAAACTAGAGGCTGATGTACTCTTGTTCAGCTATATTGTGTGAATGTATCGTCAATATTGTTGTCTCTATAAAACTGTAGCCAAAATTCATTTTATCACCGCCCCTCGCTTCGTGATATGGTAAAAACTTTGTTACAAATGAATGATGCGTCCTGGAACAAAATCGGTGTATCATATTCTTAAGGAAGAAATTTTGTTTGTGACGTAATTCTATTTTCGTTTCAATTTAATTAAAGATATTTCATCGGTAAACCATTCATTGCATTTCGTCTATGTTTTAAATCACAATTCAGGGTATGAAGTGATTGATATTCAGTATTGAATACTCATTACAGAACGTTAAAACTTTCATTTTCCAAAAATCGCATATCTCTATAAATAGATACGACATAATTATGGAAGGTCATCTGTACCAAAACTATAGTGTTAATTGTAGCGGTTATATACCTCAAAGTAAATGCGTTTATTAACTTTTAAAGAAACTTTATTGATATCCCAAATCTTTAAAATTCTTACAGAGAACATTACACTCAAAATTAGATCTTATTTTCCCCCTTTTTTTGTGCGATTTTTTGCCTGATTTAAACGCTTTAAACGCTTTTCGTTTTTAGATTATTTTGTACAAAATTATTTTTGAAAAACATAATTTAAATAAGTTTTTTTTCACAAGACAAATCTCGAAAAAAAATATTTGTTTAATAATAACGACAGGCAAGCGCTTCCCTCTTATTTCTTTATTCATTAACTAATTAAAAAGCCCATTCAAATAAAAGATTTCTTCACAAACCTTCTATGTATCTCTTCAAATAGAAATAAATATGTGGATGGTTATCTTTGTAGATATTGTTTACACAACAGAACGCATGGCCTCTCTGTTACCTTACATATCGGTAACACCGACTTCATCTTAGTTTTTGTTTGATATTCGTCTCTTTCATATATCTCCATATATAAACACTTTAATCGTGGAAGGTAAAACTATGAAACATTTTGTATTAAATATATATGTTTTCTGGTGAATATTTCTTATCATATGACATGTAACAGGTTGGTTTTTGTTTCGGAGATTCATTGAATAATTATATGTAAGCTTTTTTTTTAACAAAACCATTCACACGAACATCTTTAATATAAGAGATTACTTTGATTTTGGTAAAGTTGATTGCAGATACAACCCATTCAAGATCTTACGGGATGTATGTATCTAAGTAAATCAGATTAGCTATAGGGCTACTAGCCAAAGTAATATAGCCTCTCAAACAGGCCTACCGCTATCATAAATTACGGAAATATTTTACCAAATTTTATAATCGTCATTTCAATTTAATGTCTTAATTTAACAGCGATTTGAAAACTCTTCTGCAACAAGGGATAAGCAAGCCTGATTTAAATAGAAATGTGATCTATGGTGATCTACAGACTTCGTAAGATATTGGGATGATACTTCTGCTTTCCTTTCCAGAATCATCAAACGTTTAAGAGTTTATGACCCTAATTTTTAGGACATACCATCAACCATTTTACAATAAAACACTACGCTTTCCTCTTTTGATTACATCTGACCAAGTGGTCCAAGTGGTGGGAACATCCATGATGGACATTTCTTAAAACCCATTGGACCTGAACTGACAATAGGAATGTTTCAAAATTTTACCAGTTTATGTTAAATGTTGAATTCTGCTTAAGCTGGTGCTAAAAAGTGTGGACTGTAGCTTGCAATTACCACTACCGTCCATGAACAAGCTTTATCAAACCGAGTCCCAACAGTGCTTCCCAGCATTGCTTATGTCTGCACGCCGTTCCAGTGCGAACGCATATGTTCTTTGGGCATATGTCTTGGTAATTGCTACATGCTTATTGTAGTGACATATTTTTTGTCACTTTTTCTTTTTGTCGTCAACGGTAAGTTTCATCCCTTTACCTCTTTTTATCCCCCTCCTCCTTCTCTGGTCCTTTCCCCTTTCTGTTGTCTTTTTTGGTTGGTTGTCTACGATATCTTTGCAGGTTTCTATGGTTTCCTTTTTGAAGTATTTATTATAATATTTACCCTTCTGTTCTTTGCCACTGTGCCTCCTACTGTTTTTGCTTCATGTCCTTCTTAGCCCCTTGCCGATAGCCCTGTGTTCCTGGTTGTGTTGGGGGATGCGTTCGTTGTATGCCACCCTTCCGTGTTGATCTTTGTTTTCCTGAATATTCTAGAATGGTCAATTCGTGAAATCTTGAGATACAAACTCATAATTAACATTTTAATATTTTACTTTGTGTTATCCTTTTTGTTTGTATATGAAAAATGAGGCATGAAAACCAAACCAATGGCATTATTCTTTAACCGTTATCTTCAACATATCTATTTGTTCAGTGTTACATGTCTTGGAAGACAGAAGAGCTGTTATTTACAATCTGAGATGATTGAAATACTATTGCAACACGAATCTATTACTTAATTAATTATGATATTTTAATCCTTCCCGAATAGGTTCCTTTGAGAATCAGGTCCGTGCATACTAATATTCCATGAATTAATCTTGCGAACAAGTGCATTAAAATCCTTTTACAGAATGCATACAAATCCTAACTAAACATTGCTAACATCTCTTTATAAAGCTTACTTGCAAAGAAAAATTTACGGATTATTTGGTCATTATTGTATTGTTTTAGGAAATATTTTTGACTACACATCCCTTAAACTAATTGATGTTTCAAAGTATCAGGAGGATCTTGTAAAAAGCCTTTACGAAGATTTTATACAGTGTAATGAAGCTATGACGTTTAACATACGCCACCTTGTTCCTCAAGCAAGTGATCTTTGAAAGAAATATTGATAGATAGACTCATCATTTGTCTTGTTTTATATGGTATCAAATGTTAGTAATAAGTGATATTTTTCGTGATAAAATGCTATGATATATTATTATAGTATAGCGACCAGACTGTTATGTGAAATATATCATGTCCTGGGGCGACATCGAGGGTGTTTTTGTCTACAGAGAATGATCGGGCAGTAAGGCCGAGAACATTTCCTGTAGAGGAAACCAAAATGCAGCTTTAAGCCATGATATTTCCATATAACAGTCGAGTTCGATATACTATAAATGCTTTATGGCATGATGTATAGAAATAAGAATTTTTATTAGACATAAAATTTTAATATAATTATAAGTTTTTATTCTTTAAACAAAATACCCCACTTGGAGCCTCGGTAACTCTTTGAGGGACATGAATGAATTTTGATTTTTCTTATTGTAAACCCAAAGCGTGACTTCGATTGCTTAAATGACCACAGACGTTGCTGTAAAGAAGTTTTGAATGCGCTAGTATTTCCCTAACAGTTGTTTGATTAAGATTTTTAATCACACGGCAAAAGATAGTTTTGAATTTTATTCTAATGTAAACGATTGATTTACAGAAAAAAATGTATACAGACTGTGCCCCATAGCATTAAATAACAGGGAAAGTGATTAAAACGTTTAAAAACGCATAATATGCTTAACTGATATATATCAGTGCAAAAAATTAACTGTTATATATAAGTTTTGTCCTTTATGGATCAAAGGGGAAAAAAATTAAATTCTCATTAAAAGTATACTAAATTTAATGAGTTTTTGAAGAACAAAGAAAAAAATCCAAACCACACGATAATTCTTAAAACCATATTAAGGGTTTGCATTGTGGTATACTTAACAACAATAGGTACAGATACACGAAAACGCAACAGTTACTCTTTTTATCAGTTATCAAATAAATCAAATTGCAGCAACAAAACTTATTTTTTCAGAGGCTGGCACGTACTTCATTATTTGTTTTAATTTGATAGACAAGAAATAGCGAGGGTATTTGAAGGTTACACGAGTAAAAGGGCTGTGTGCAATTATTCAAAAAGATACTAAGACGTTAATTAATCTACAATTTACGGTGTATGGTGTTGCATATTATTGTATAACTTATTAAGTAAATGATATTCTATCTCAAATGATGCCCCGGAGATTAAAAATAGGTCACATTTCCTACTTTTGAAAATCATAGGTATATTTTACATGACATCAGTTCTTAATTACTTTATCTATTTGGGATACAATGTATGAAACACAGCTTACTAAATTTCGTTAAAAATATGCCATTTCTAACCAAAGATGTTTCACAAGGTTTTCTGAAAAATTCTTATTAGATTTTGTTAATATCATCGGGTTGGCGGCAAGGCGTAAACAATTTCTTTTGTTTGTAACACAAATTTCAAATGATTTCTGCCAAAGCGTTGCAGCCCTTTTCACTCAAATCTGACTATAATTCGCACAAATAATCATATCCAATTTAATTCTGATTTCATTTCCCCAGTTAGCATATTTTTCCTTTTTTAATACTTTACTTGATATGTGTAAGAATTTCAAATTTTTATGTTTTAGACTTTTTCAACCCAGAGGAGCTCCTTTCATGGCTATGCACCCGCTCGTAAGACACACATTGTAACCGATCTTTTAACGACTTAGATGTTACCATCATCACACATAATCCTGTTCCCCAGACCATGCCTCTGTGAATTTTTGTTACTGCCAAAACAAAATGTTTCACCTTCTTGAAAGAGATGCAGTTTCGGAAAGTCTTTTGGTCTATTTATCAGTGTTCGAATTGCAAAGAATGAAATGAGCTTTAAAAAGAGGATTGATCGATTGAAAAATTATATCATAAGAGAAGACGAATATTTTGAAGAACAGAGCAAGTTAAAATGACCAGGACTAGATGAATAAAAACATTTTGTACTTCTTAAATTATAACCAATTAATGTCAGAAAAAAATAGAAAACAGTAATTGTTGATTGATATTTATAGCTGTATCACTTTAAAAAGATGACGAAATTAAATTGTGACTGTATGCTATGATGTAAGCATGTACTTTAATAATCTGTTTCATCATTATTACTGTCAAATATATGCTTTGATGCCATTGAAGTAAATTTTCCACACAGCAATACATAAGAAAATTAACATCTAGCAATACATAAAGTGACATAATCTTCACATTTTCGTTTCTTCTCTTCGACATCGAAATAACATAATCAGCTGCAAATTGATTTTTAATGACTTTTTCATGGTAAAAATATTGTACACCTTCTGAATTTGACTGTTTAAATAGCCCCTGAAAATTTGTTTGTTGTTTTATTGATAAGGCATTTTATTTTAGTTTGTGTAAGCATAAAATTATACAGTTACTTGACTTATAAACAAGGATATACATCACTATAAATGCATACTAAAATATTAAAGATAAATGCATAAAACTTGAATGCTTTTTTCAAACATTGTAATGATTGGAACTTGATTTTCTACGTTGAAGCTTATATCGACCATCTAACATTAGATTGCACATAAAACAAGTTGTTTGTTAAAGCAATCATAAACATATATCAAATATGGATTCATTTGTGTAATATGAAGGCTGAATCATTTTTATATAATTATGATTAAAGTTATTACGTGTTATGGATATTCATCTAAAAGTATATACATTAGTATTATAAATGTATGTTGCTATTTTATAAGATTTGATAAGGTCTCAAGCTTTTTATAGCTTTTTTAAATGGTACAATATAACCCTCATCGTAGAAGAAGTTTCCTTTGTCTTAAGCAAATACAAAACCATAGGATGACCATTTATGAATGTTATAGTTTTCTTAGTTATATCTAATGAGCAGAGGGGCTTGCATATAACATGATTTACAAAGATTATTATTAGAAACATACTTCTTACAACATTATACATTGGTTTATATGTCTGATATGTTACATTTTATAACTGAACAATCATGATAAGAACTAATATTACATTTTATTCTTTGACAAATATTAACTTTAAATGATTCCATTGATATTTTACAGAAACTTAAAAGGGTCTTACTGTCCTACAATATATCTTAACTCGTCAAACCATGATATGATATGACGTCACGTTTTGCATTACCTTAATTTGACTTGATATAGAATAAACAGGTTTTAAACATTGGACAAATACTCCTATATACATGATATAGATGTTATAGTCTAGCGGCTCGTCAAGTTTGGTTTCTTCAACTGTGTACCCGTCCAAATATTCCTGTATTGTTCAGATCAATATTAAATTACATATACATGTAGATAATATAGCCAGAATAGATCCTGTTCAGAGAAGGATTTGTCAACTGGTGCAAAGGCCAATTAATTTTGTTTCAGCCATGGTCAGAGTTTATTCCATTTTATGTGTTTGATGTGTAGTATTTAACGCGCAAAATAAAAAAAGTACTGAATTGATCACCATTTTAGGATATTATCCTTTTGCATTAATTCAAGGCTCAAAGAATTTGTTTTTCGCATGATTTCTCAATAATTGTATTGGTTTAAACATAATTTTTATATATTTTAGCTCGATTGCGAAACAAGTTCTTGCAACTTATATAAATCACTTTCGGGTCCGCTTCCTGGAACCAACCAGTACTGGTGTCATATAAAGACACATGGTCGTGACCCGAGTAGGGCTCGAACCCATGATCTCTGTGTTGAGAGGCAGACACCATAACAACTAGGCGACCGCTCCCCTTAATAATCGTATTCACTCATTCTTAAAACGTTATGCATGGTAAACTCTCCTCAATGATGTTTGAGCTTAATAGTAATAAAATAAATAAACTATAATAAAAAGCCACAGTATAAAAATGTAATAAAAGTTTTTTTCTCGGATAAAGACATGGGAGTCGAGAAATAAAAGTATGGGCTGAATTGTAGGAACATAAAGCAGTGGTAAGGATGGGTTTTTTTTGCTACATTTTAAGGATATTTTTTACCTGTGATAATGTCTATGTAACTAAATATTTTTTTTGTAATTACAAACAAAATGAAATTTCTCCTGATATTATTTACTGTATTGCCATACTGCATCGTTCAGAAATATTAAACTGATTGGTTGTACTTAGGTGTTACAATATATGGATACTACAGTAAATTGATGTGTATATCCAACGTCAGATCAAATTAATAACAGGTATGTGATGTGTTTTCAGAATGAAATAAATTGCGCTGCATCATACAACAAACATTTGAGCATGCTTTACGTCTATGTAAATATAATTTGATTTTTTTAAGCAAAGCAAAACATGCGAAAAAGATACTAATGCGTCCGTATTTGTGTGTGTGAGTTTTAACAATTAGTTATACTTTTGTTACTCATATGATCAATCCGTATTAACGTATTATTTCAGATATGAAAATAAAAAGGTCTTTCTTTAGAATCATTCTCATAATAAAAATAAAAAGATGTGGTTCGGTTCAAATAAAGCTTTTATAGAAATAATTGCCACTATTTTCAATACTCTGTTGGTTAGTTTTTTTTCTGTTATTCTTTCATTTCTGTATAAACCGTCAAAAAAGTCATTAATGAAATGAGATATGATGCTTCATTTTGTATATAGATTCTTATAAAATGTACGTTGAAATGTACTCATACAACGTGTGTGAACATTTGATAGTATGAAATTTGAACATGAACATGAATAAATTCAATACGTTGATGTATTTTAACACTGCTTATTTGTCTCTTATCTGTATATTTCAAAATTCAAAATGCAAATAAAATGGATGGCATGTTCTGGCTTTGCTTTCGAGCTCTCTTTGTAACTTCAATAATATTTTTCTTGCAAATTATCAAGCGTAAGTACGTAAACAGTGCAATGTGTTCTGGCATTAATATTTTTGCACGGAAATACATTCCAAATAAAGTAAATTGTAAAGTTCCAAATTCAATACAGGGAAGGACAATGGTTTAACTTCGGGATTAAAAAATAACAAGTTTGAACAAAATACACTTTATTGAATATGCAAAGAAACATTAAAGTTGTGAACTACTATTAAAACTTCTTAATACAGAATTATTTTGAAATATACATTACAGACAATAAAAACATTATAGCCTTTTAAATACATCTGTTTGAAATGCAATGATTCAAAAAAGAATTTATAATTATATTATTATACAGGATGAATAGGATGAAATAATAATGAAATGGTAAAATTATAGATCATGGAAAATGTATTCAATCGAGTTATTCATTAAAGGAGTTAAGCTTAAGAAACGAATCAGAAAAAATAGGTCGCTTTGCAAAAGCCCCATTTATTTCCAGTGATAGGAAATTTTTAAATAGCTTTAAACTTTGTAATCAATCAAAGAATTTGTAATCTTTATAATTTTGCGTGACAAATTTTTACATTACTTTAAACTCGAAAATCCCTACGTTTCAAAATACAGATGTAGCTTTTGTTTACTGTTCTTAAATTATTGTATTTACATTGAATTTCTTATTTGTCTTTAATATAAAAGAAATGCAAGAATTGTGTATTTTATCAGACATTTTTTTTATTTGGAGTGTATATACAGTAATTATATGATAAACCGCACATATTTAATCTTTCCATTTGATTGCATGAATTGATTTGTGCATTTTAACAAATGGAACATGTAAATGATCCATAAAAATATCAAGTACGCCTACAAATCTTTTGAAAATCGCTTTTGTAATTTAATATAGAGAAACGAATCCCTTAAGAACGTACAAAACGGCAAAAGTGAAAGTGCTGCAAGCTTGGTCTAACTGAGCCTGTTTATGGACGGTACTGGTACCGGCTTCGGCAGATTTCAACTTTTAGACATGAAAATGGTAAAATTTTGAATTTAAAACATTTTTCAGATTTAAGCTTTTCCATTCCTTTTTCTTCATCTTCTTTTTTATCAAACATATGGTCCAGAAAATCTTCGGCAAAATTCAAAATTTTGCGCAAAGCCAACAATGCCAGTATACTAATACTTTCATCGAGCTCGTCTTCATTATGGTAATTCTTTACGGGAAGAACGTTTGCAGGTGGAAGGCCAAGGAGTTGCGAGGCCTTTTCCACATGCTGCTCCACTTCCGGACTCTTAAAGACCAATGACACATCTTCTCCGACTTCTTTACAGAGTTTATCTACCTTTGTAAGAAGGATAAGTTGTGGTATTTCTGAAACAGAAACAACAGAATGTTTTTATTGTGATAATCATATAGAAACTAGAACTATCACTAAATGTGATTAATACCCCCACAAGACTGCTTCGGAAATGAGGATGTTACTAGTAACAGAATACCTTGTAAAAGAATTGAAATATAGAGTTATGGTTGTGGCAATTTAAGATAGTTGTGGTTCTTGCATGTTGCATTTCCTTTCAATGTGGTTGGCCATTGATGAAGTTTTATTGAATTACTCTGTAATAAGTCCAGAAAGACAAAGAAAAGGAACAAAGGGCAATAACTCTATAAATACTGAAGATAGAGTTATAGTTCTTGTGCACTGCACTTACTCTTATTGTGCTTGACCATTGTATGAAGTTGTTTTGAATTCCAATCAGTATGTTTTAAGTTATGCTCCGGACAAGGAAAAGTCTCAAAGGGCAGTTACTCTGCTTTTTGTCAAAATGTAGTTATGGCTCTTGTGCACTGCACTTCCTTTTAAAGTCCTTGACAACTGTATGAAGTTGTATTGAATTCCAAACAGTAGTTTTCAAGTTATGCTCTGGACAAGGAAAAGTAACAAAGGGCAATGACTCTGTAATTAGTCAAGATGGAGTTATGGTTCCTATGCACTGCACTTCCTCTCAATGTGCTTGACCATTGTGTGAAGTTATATTGAATTGCAACAATTAAACTTCAAGTTATGCTCCGTACATAAAAAGCAATGGAAAAGTAACAAAGGGCAATAACTCTGAAATTAGTCAAGATAGAGTTATGGTTTTTGTGCACTGCACTTCCCCTTATTGTGCTTGACCATTGTATGAAGTTGTTTTGAATTCCAACCTATAGTTTTCAAGTTATGCTCTGGACAAGGAAAAATAACAAAGGGCAGTAACTCTGTAATAAGTCAAGATGGAGTTATGGTTCTTGTGCACTGCACTTCCTCTCAAAGTGCTTGACCATTGTATGTAGTTATATTGAATTCCAACCATAAGTCTTCAAATTATGGTCCGGACAAAAGAAAGCAATGGAAAAGTAACAAAGGGCAATAACTCTGTAATTACTTTAGATAGAGTTATGGTTCTTATGCACTGCACTTCCCCTTGTTGTGTTTGACAATTGTATGAAGTTGTTTTGAATTCCAACCAGTAGTTTTCAAGTTATGCCCCGGACAAGGAAAAGTAACAAAGGGTAATAACTCAGTAATAAGTCAAGATAGAGTTATGGTTCTTGTGCACTGCACTTCCTCTCAATGTGCTTGACCATTGTATGTATTTATATTGAATTCCAACCATTAGTCTTCAAGTTATGGTCCGGACAAAAGAAAGCAATGGAAAAGCAACAAAGGGCAATTACTCTGTAATTAGTCAAGATAGAGTTATGGTTCTTGTGCACTGCACTTCCCCTTATTGTGTTTGACAATTGTATGAAGTTGTTTTGAATTCCAACCAGTAGTTTTCAAGTTATGCCCCGGACAAGGAAAAGTAACAAAGGGCAATAACTCTGTAATTAGTCAAGATAGAGTTATGGTTCTTGTGCACTGCACTTCCTCTCAATGTGCTTGACCATTGTATGTATTTATATTGAATTCCAACCATTAGTCTTCAAGTTATGCTCCGGACAAGGAAAATGCAACGGACGTCTGGACCGACCGAACGACCGACCAACCAACCGACCACCGGGTGACTCCTATATACCCCCCCCCCAACTTCGTTTTTGGGGGTATAATAACTCTATCTGATTTAAAATCATATTATGATAAATATAGTCTGAACTTTGGGATGTGTTTCAATTGTTCTGATATATAAACTGTAAATTGCTAATTTCTGAACGTATAGCGTATATGACTACTATGTCTTCTCTTTTGGTTGCCTATGACGATCTGCAGTCAGCAGACACATTTTAGTCAGAAATAAATGGAGAAAGACACGAAAAGATATGTAAAGCATTTCTCATTTTAGTGGTTTGACATATTTTCATTGCTCTAAGATGGTCTTTTAAATACATTGTATCAGTAATAGAAATATGATCAAAGTATCAAATGCCCCCTAATATTCAAGCAGGAACCCCTCGGGCAAAATGATAAAAGTTACGTAATGTTCCTTTAGTTTTTGTTTTATCTCTAGTTTCGGCGAGCCATTGTGTTATACGTATGGTGTGTATGTGTTCTGTCTTATTATTTGTATTGTATGAGATTAATCTATATGAATAGTATGATACACACGTTTTTATTTACCAGTACGGGCATCTTACCAGCTTAATTAGGAGTTTTGAAAGATTTACTCGTAAGTGAAATAATGACTGGAATGGTAAATAATGTCAGCATATGACCAAAGTTGTTTCGGAGCCTCATTAAGCTCACCAAAAATAGCTTATACCTTTCTGATTCATTATACTTTGAAATGCTTTCATTTTTTCTAAGATTTTTGGTGTCAAGATCTCCAGTGTGCTGGCATCCAAAACGAATACTGCACAGTGTATGACGTCATTTGCGGTAGGACTTGCATTGAAACCAGGTGTTTTTGGCGTTATCTGTATGGCTGGATGAAACTTAAAACATCAAATCAAAAATAAAATATAAACTGAACATAATATATATGAAGGGCAATTTCATAAAAAAAACATCATAATACATGTAATAGTAATTGATAGTTTGAAGGTAAAAAAAGAGAGAAAATAATACTAGACATTGTCTTGAAATCATAGCATAAAATTCTTGTCAAATTAAATCACATTTTGCTACTTTTGAAATTAGAATTTATAATCATGCCACCAAGTTTATTTTAAATGTAATTTTAAAATAAGCCGACGTTGCATTATCAGTTTTGCAAGAATTATTAGATAAGATTCTATATAATTAAAAACAAGTTGAACTTGTTTTTGGATACCTGATAATAATTTTGTATGTTACCATCCAGCAAATAGTTACAGTCGAATACACCGAGACCCTGGGACTCTTCTTAACCACGTGTGTCACATAACCGGAAGTTCAGTGGCGTCCCCGATTTGACCTTTACCTTGTATGGGGTGTACTGAAACAAAATTTTCTTGAAATTCATTTGATTAAATAAATATACTAAAAATTAAATATATCAACCACGGTGAGCAAAACAGAATGCATTTTGATCGGGTCAAAGATATTTTCCGGTATAATGTTTGATTGTATATCAATATCACACAGGTGTGTGAATAACAGTAAAATATCATCCCGAGGAAAATACAGTTACCTGAGGCTTTAGCAGAGGGTTGTAGTATTTTTACGCGGAATTATTTTTTTTCTGTTAGACTCAAAAGTATGTTATTTATTTCAATACCTCGAACAAATACTTCATTCGGAGACTATTTAATAACATAGAGGATTTTTTTTCAGATTTTTACTTAATATATATTTATTTTACTAATGAATTTACTGTAACACTTGAATTAACAGTAAGAATATCATTATCACATTGGTCTTTTGGAAATTAACAACTCAAAAATAGTGATGAGTAATAATAAAGAATGGTGTATGTGGATAATACATAAATATTGATCTTGATGTACTATAACACATATATAGTGTATTTATGTTTAAAAATGAATTGGGTCAATTTGTTCTCAAACTCTGGATATGATAATTAGTAATTGTTTGTAAATGTGTCCGATGATACACATCCCTTTATAAATGATCTAACCAAAAACGGACTTTGAAATTCATATCATAACAGCCATTCTTTATACAATACGTACAGTCATCGGGTTTAAAGGTTTTCACTTTCTTTATTGGTATATGAAGAAAGAATAATACTTTGTTTTTTCAAAGCCTACATTTACTTATTTATGCATTTGTCTAACGATTAAGTATAGGTAAAGACGACTTCGATAAGAATTCGTAGTCCAAATATCTTCAATACTCACAGCAGTCGTAAGGCTTTGTTCTGCGCTACCACTACGCGCCTTCTGTGAAATTCGACCTCGAAATATCGAATTGATAGTGTTGAAAAAGCTCGATTTTCCTGCGCCAACTGGACCAATGATCAAAATCCGGGCATCTGTCACTTTCAAGTCCGGTATTGGTTTGAATGATACAATATCCTCAGTAAGCTTATTTAAAAACTGAAAGAAAAACAATCGTGTTGTCGAAAAAGTATGATACCTACACAAATAATAAAGTAACGGTTTCGAGATATCTCAAATCATGCTTTACAATATTTGTTTTGCAAGCAGTTTATCAATTTTGCCATATAAAATGGTGTCTATTTTAGTGTTTATTTGATTTAATTTTTCAAAACAGTTAAATTATTCATTACGTTAATCAATCATGGGTAAACTATTTTCTATGCATAATTTATTTAAGATAAGTTTTTTTTAATTATGTGGCGGCATGGCCGAGTTGTTAACTCGGAATAGTAATCTATAATGATCGCTAGCCGAATGAGTTTCAACCCCACCAGGGGCAAGTCGTTGTTTCTTTGAGCAACTTTACCACTTATTGCTCAGTACTGGTTGGTCCCAGGATAGGATTCGAAAGTGTGTCTGTAAGCTTACAGCTTCATACACAATCGAAGAACTAAAATAAATTATGTATACTCTTAACTATATTAAAGAGAATAACCTCATTAAAGTGCGAATATTTTAGAACTTTTTGTTCCTTAGATGATAAAAAACAACTCCAAAATGGCCAGGTACGACACGAGTGTATTTTAACTCATCGCGAGGTCGCGAGTACGAACCATATTGCCTGATACAGGCTGATAGAAGACAGTAATATTAAACTGATAGTGTTGAATACAGACATGCCGTCACTAGTCTTTAACAGATTAATAAGCTTATAATTTCAAATTACCTGTTCATTCCATCTTTTAGTCTTTCGCCATGGTTTCAAGTTCTCCTGCTTGATAGGTTTTGACCTCTTCTCATCTTGATATGTTAAATGTTTTATAAGAAATTAATCGGAGTGAAACATACGAAATATTTAAAACTTTATATAAATTAATGTTTTGTTAGAAAGTAAATGGAGTGAAAAATACGAAATATTTAATATATAACTTAATATATTAATGACGTACGATATAATGATAATCATCACCACCACATAGATAGTAAACCTTAAGTATATTTTTTAAAATTTATTATGAATTTTAATCGGGTTTAGGCAGATTTCTATGGATTAAAAGTATTATCAAATAGTGTTTAGTATTTGATCGTTGTCAGTTTTACATATTTTTAATGAAAAAAGAGACAGCTTGAAAAATAATTATGTAAAGAAACAATATATAAGAAATCGAAATTAATTAAAATGTGAATATAATTAGCCACCCGTATTTTCTGTTTTGCAAGGTAGTAATAATTTGCATGCATAAAAAAGATAAACACAGCTTACCTTCGACGTTATAAACTTCTAACTCCGTGACGTTCATGTTTCCATTGTTAATCTGATCTGCAGTAATACCTTGATTGTCGTAGCAATTTCCAACATTCAAGTGACCATTGAGAGCAAAGTAGGTACCTGAGCTGTTTACTGTGCCTTGGAAAGTATATATGTCATTACCATTACCAAAAATTGGACCGTAAGATGAATCACAGTATAGAGCATGCTGAGAGTTTCCAGATTTTATCGGAAATTTAGTAGGTTTTTCATTCCCATTAAATCGTAGCTGATAAATAAAGGCGGAAGTGTCGTCATACCAACTGCCACTACTATTCCAGCTTACTTGTACATAACCACCATACACCGATCCTTGTGGGTTATACAACACTGTGACTGTAGGTCCCTGATTGTCACATTTCTGGTGGAACGTTGTAGAGTCGCACCCATCTCTTGTAATGGTGTAGAGAAGTTTAAATGTTTTAGGACCTGTACCTATCCATTGCTCCAGTTGGTCCATATCATTATCTGTTAACTTCCCGCCCATTATTATAATATCTGTAAACTAAATCGAGAATTATGTTAAATAATTAGTACAAGTCATTCATCTTTTATTATCAAATATTATTTTCCCATTTTTTTCTTCTTTCGGAGATGATGTCACATTTTCATATTATGTTCTTTCAATACTGCTTTGTCGAGAGAAATGATTAACATGTATACATATCTATTTTTCATATATATTTCTTATTGTTTTGTTTCTTTTTCTTTCTTTCCACTCCCTCTCCAAATTCTGTGTTTATGAATTACATGATTCAAAGCCAGTTAAGTGCGTGCGTGTTCTTAGGTCAATAAGGGTCAATCCGCCTTTTCAGGCACTTACGGACCCCGGACTTGTCACCAATCATGATCTTAAATAGTAGTAAGTTGCCAAAAAGGTGGCCTTTTAATTTTGAATCTAGTAATTTACTGAATGTGACACAATATATGTTTGTTTTATTTTCTTTTTTATTTAGTATTCAATATACATGAAGGCTAAGTGATACCTGGGAAGCCATTGAGACCATTATATGCATCATGCACTAAAATGTAAAATATTGTTGAAGTTGCCGAAATAAAAAACCGGACTCTCTTCATATCAGACTGTCCTTATTTTGTTTAAGTTTTTTTTCAATGCCAGTGAAATCTTCCCAAGGCTCTTAAAAAAGAAACGATCTCAACTATATTTACCCCGATAGTTAGTACACCTTTGTACGGTGGCACAAAGGTACGGAGGCACAAAGGTGACATGCATGTGTGTGTTTTATTTATGTCGTGGCCTCGAGATACTATGTATATATATATACCGCAGAAATAAGATACGCATAACTTTAAAACCCCTTATTTTTACCAAAATCGCAGAATTTTAAGCCCGCAGAAATAAGTACATATACGGTATGTCGTCGCCACGAGTTACTAAGTCGTGGCCACGAGAAAGCTAAGTCGTGGCCACGAGATACTATGTCGTGGCCACGAGTTACTATGTCGTGGCCACGAGTTACTAAGTCGTGGCCACGAGATAAATAACCAATCAGATTACACCATTTATACAAGAAAAGCATTGATTCAAAGCATCAAAGGGCGTTCAAGCAAGAAATGCAGCAATTGAATAGTATATTTTTTGTAATAATCTATTTTGTTATATGAATAATACATTAATATTAGCATTTTACTTGGCGATTTTCTTTTACATTTTGAAAATAAAAAAATACATATATAATATTATATTATAGTTGTTATTTTTTATGGTCATAAATGTAATATATGTCACGGTTCAGAACTGTTCACTATTTAGGGGAGAAGATGTGTAAGCGGCCGGATAGCTCAGTCGGTAGAGCCGCGGTACGGTATTCCGAGGGTCCCGGGTTCGAGTCCCGGTCAGGCTGCACATTTTTCTCACCCTGTGACATTTGGCGCCCAACGTGGGGCCGTGACTGATATAGCTCAGAGTTTAATTTACATTGCTTTGTAACTCTGTGAAATTCGAGGACGAATTTCAATATAGCAGGGGAGTATGTCACGGTTCAGAACTGTTCACTATTTAAGGGAGAAGATGTGTAAGCGGCCGGATAGCTCAGTCGGTAGAGCCGCGGTACGGTATTCCGAGGGTCCCGGGTCCGAGTCCCGGTCAGGCTGCACATTTTTCTCACCCTGTGACATATAGGTAATAGAAAGAGCATCGAAACACGAGGCTATGTGATTTGTACGAGGGGGCGTAGCCCCCGAGTATAAATCAGATTGCCGAGTGTTTTGGTGTTCTTTCTCTTTTGTATCATAGTCAAACATGACAGCACGTTCCCTGTTGTCATAATATGAAACCCCAGAAAAAAAATAACCAATGAACGAGCATTTGAATATGATAGTTCTGCCCCTTTCCCTTTCTCTGCCGTCACAATATGTAAACCCCGGCAAAAATGAACCAATCCACGGGCATTATCTGGAGTGCGGGTAACTGATATCTGCACTCCAGTTACCGCACTGTGCATGTATATGTATACGATTTAACTCTGAATCTTTTTCAACAGAAATGTCCCCAAACTATGATACAATGATTAATAATAGCAACGGATATATACAATCATTTATAATCCATTTGTGTAACGCCTGATCAACACCACACTTGTGTATTGTCCCTCATTATGTTATCGCTATTAATTAGCGAAGACCCCTTCTTAAGATATCTGTTTACACTTAGTAAAAATATGACACTGGTTATATTACCATGTTGATCATGTTGAGCATAATTGTTTTATTATACAATAATTGTAAGATCTATTTTAATATTATTTTTTTTTACATATTTTATAAATATTGTTTTCTTTTTTGTGTGTTTATGTGCCATTTTAATACTGATTTTTTTACGTATACTTCTTTTTATACTTCAAACTAAGTGACAAACATTCATTTTGAAAAAAAAAACTTATTTGTCTGTAACGATATAAACATCTACTCCAAAACGACAATTAACCTGTGATACTATTCGCCGGTGGTCAAAATAGACCGGGAGAGACCGGGAATTACCGATAGGAGTCCGGCGAATAGTACATTCCTCTATAAAAAGATTTTCAGACTAAGGTACAGCTTTCGGATACATGTATCATGTACTACAAAATGATTAATAAAATCCCGAAGAGCGAGATTAATTGACGGAAAAGATTATTTCATTTGAATATATTTGCATTGCGAGATTCTCCAGTTCGCTATTCATTTAATCAAACATCCTCATACCAATCGGAATGATCGGCTATTATAACCGACTAAAAAGCCCGAGAAGTTGCTGCCGCCCTTTCTCATTCCATATGAGGCGCCGACGCCAATGAATTTCCCTAATTAACTAGACATGTGCTATAGTACAAGGATGCCCCTACTTCACCAGTCTGTAAAAGTGCCATTTATACAACTTATTGACTGTCAATAATTTTACATTTAGCGTCAATGTGACCCTGATTTTTGGCCCAATGACCTCGAAATTATTAGATGTCATCTACTGATCAGGTGCAATGAACTTCCTGGGTTATATAAACCATGGCTTATCCCTTCTAAATTACTCATCAAAAATGCCTTGTTTTTTGGTTGAAAAAAATAATGTTGATCATTAAATAGGTTAATGTTTAATATTATTAAACACTAACCTATACTTAAACGGTGCAAATCCGCGTCACCAGTTTCAACTTTTTATTAAACCAAGGCATGTATTATGTAATAAAGCAAACAATTTAACAGAAAATAACTGTCAAAAATCAACTAATATCAAATAAAAAGAATACAATTATGCCAAGCTTATTTATGATTTGATTTTAAAATTCATACGAAACAATTTATCTGAAATTCATCGGCTGATACATATCAACATCGGAGTATAAATTTTAGTACTCAAAATTATTCAAGCGATTTATATCAAATTTGCTTGCGTACCTGCTATGACGTTATCGTCATATTATCAATTACTGTGTGACTAGTTATACATGATGATTAAATATTCAATTGATTAATTTACTTAATTTTTAAGGAATTTTAAAGCTTTTCAACCATATGCTGTTCACTACAACACAATTAAGTAGTGGATATTTCAATAAATCATTGAAAAGACAAGAATTTTCAAAAGAACAGATTAGGAGATGTATACATATATATCGGAAGGTAACAAAAGAATAATGTACATCAATACGAGATTCGGCAACAAAGCACTGAAAACAAAACAGAACAAGAGCAATCGCCGGTTAAGGCCTCAACAGATGTACAGCACTAATTAGAGATAAGATGTACAATTTTCAAAGCTATACAACACTTGCATTCAGACGGTAATTCTACACTGTAGAATCATCGGAGGTTTCCCCTAAGAAGGATCCCTTTACATTGATCCTTTACATACTTTACTCAATGTAAATACTTTTTTCGCAATGAGTATATAATGATTGAAACACCTCCAATTAAAATATATATTTTATTATTATATTTTTAATGTGAAGCCTGACCGAGACTCAAACCTTGGACCCTCGGAATACCGTACTGTGGCTCTACTGACTAAGCTATCCGGCTGCCAACAAACTACCTCCCCTCCCCTAATTAGAGAACAGTTCAATACTGTGACATAATCATTTTCGGAATAATTTGGGATTCGAACATAACACAACTTTGGGTCTCCTGAAGAGTTTTTCAACATCATTTTTACCCCATCTTACTACTATGTTTACCTTTTAGCCCTAATTGTTCTGGAATTTCATTCACTACCCCCATTATCAGGACATAATTTGGTTATCTGTTACTTGTCATTGAGGGAGGTCTGAAAAAATCGGTACGACAAGATTTTCAAAATAGAACATGTCCTATCCCTTAAATCTAGACATAAGGTTTCCGAAATCAAGAAATAGTAGCCTTCACACAGTATGATTTGTCTGTACATCTTAGTTTTAATTGGTGTTGTACTTCAAAATCCTACCGTCTGTTGAGGCCTTTAGGGGCAACGCTCGACATTTTTTTTTCATTTGTCTGAAATCAAACAAATAAACAGTTTAATCAAATCTATACAAGAATAATCTTTAGACTCCCCTATCATATTACATCTCTTTATATTTATTTGAAATAATACATATATATATATACTGTGGTATATTTATACAGCAAACGGATGCTGGAAAGTAATTTTGTTTATGATGTTTAAGGGGAGATTATTTCAATGTGATAAAAGAATCACCATTATTGGGTTAAGAAGGCATCACTTTATATTTTGTAAGCGGAATTGATACAAAAATTTGCGTATAATCTATTGATTTTAGTCTAAGACCTTGATTAACAGTAAAAATTTGCCAGTGTTGCCGATAGATTTTCCGGTTACTGAAATGTCAGTAACGGTTTGACAGTATAAACAAGAACCGGTTGAACCGGGTGATGCTCCCCGAGAAGGTTCTGGACACAGGAAAGTATAAAAATTGAACAAAGGGAAAAAACTCCAAGATTAGGCAAGGCGGAGTTTGGTTTTTTTTCCACTGCACTTCTATTTAATGAGATCTATCTATCTATAAAGTTCCCTGATGATATCTCTTATAGTTTCAGAGTTATGTCCCGGGTAAAATTCAAAGTGTAAAAATGAACAAAGGGCCATTACTCCAAAATTAGACCAGGCTTTGCTTAGGTTCTTTAAGCATTGCAGTTCTATCCAATGATATCTAGCTACCTACAAAGTTTCATGTTGATATCTCTTATAATTTTAGCGTAATGTTCCGGACAAAGTTCAAAGAGTCAAAATGAACAAACGGCAATAACTCCAAAATTAGGCAAGGCAGAGTTACGGTTCTTGTGCACTGCACACCTTCTCAATGAGATCTATCTACCTACAAAGTTTCATGATGATACCTCTTATACATTTAGAGTTATGTCCCGGACACAGTTCAAAGTGTAAAATAAACAAAGGGGAATAATTCAAAAATTAGGCAAGGCAGAGTTACGGTTCTTGTACACTGCACACCTACCAAATGAGATATATCTACCTACAAAGTTTCATGTTGATACCTTTTATAGTTTTAGAGTTATGTCCCGGACAAAGTTCAAAGTGTAAAATAAACAAAGGGAATAATTCAAAAATAAGGCAAGGCAGAGTTACGGTTCTTGTGCACTGCACACCTACTCAATGAGATCTATCTACCTACAAAGTTTCATGTTGATACCTCTTATACTTTTAGAGTTATGTCCCGGGTAAAAATAAACAAAGGGGAATAATTCAAAAATAAGGCAAGGCAGAGTTACGGTTCTTGTGCACTGCACACCTACTCAATGAGATCTATCTACCTACAAAGTTTCATGTTGATACCTCTTGTTGTTTCAAAGTTATATCCCGTACAAGAAAAGCGGACGGACGGACGGACGGAAAGACGGACGGACGGACAAGGCGGCGACTATATGCTCCCCCGAAATTTTTCGGGGAGCATAAAAATTACACAAAAAATAAGTCTTTAATATGTGTCAAACCGTTAACGCCGAAATAATAAGGCTAGACTAGCTCCTCCATACTATCCACGGCCGAACCGTTTGGTAATATCGTTAACTGGCAAATATAAACGTGGTAACATTTTAATATATTCCTGTAATATTACTAGTGTGGGGTCCATTTGGATGGAAGCGTTCATAAAAAAGAGTCTACTTTCGCTTTTAAAGGACTAAAGATTTTCTTCAGATTATCGTATATACTATGTAATTTAAATGAAGAAATGAAAATTTAAACACAACTATAAAATCAATATCCATGACTATAAACTATAAAAAAGTTACGAATAGAATTTAAACAAATTAAATAGTACAAACCACTTAGTCTGTTTCTATCCTAACAGGGTTGTGTCCTACAAATAAATGATCACTGTATATAATATGTGCTACGTGAACTAATTTGAATGAGTGATTGTTAAAAGGATCCAGTGTAGTACATTTCTTATTGATTAATACCATCATTAACTACAATGTGCCTTAAAATGTCCCTCCCTAACCAACTTTTGTGATAAAATGAGTATCAAAAGAAAAAAATGTAAGTATACTAATTAGATAGGGAAATAGGGCCGAAAGTTTGGCCTTTTAAACACTGGATTGTACTCTCGTACTCTTCATGTTCAGCGATATTGTGTAAATGTATTGTATGTATGTCAATATTGTTATCTCTGTAAAATTGTAGCCAAAAACAAAATCAAGTCCTTAATTAATTTCATCAACGCCCCTCGCTTCGTCAAAAGCTTGTGTGATATACAAATTAATGATGCGTTCTGGAACAAAACCGGAGTATCACATTCTCAAGGGTGATTTTTTGTTTGCCTTGTAATTTTAAATCCATTCAGTATAATTTGTCTTTGTTTTTTTAAATCAAGATTCAGGGTATGAAGTGATCAATATTCAGTATTGAATACTTATTTATTGACCTAATTTTAAAACGTTAAAATTTTCATTTTCCAAAAATAGGACACAATTATGGGAAGTCATCTGTGCCAAATCTATAGTGTAAATTTAAGCTTTTATAAACCTCCAAGTAAATGCGTTTATTTAATTATTAAAGAAATTTTATTGATGTCCCAAATCTTTAACATTCTTACGCAATTCAAACAGAAACATATGTAAGAAAGGGCAATAATTACACTCAAAATTAAATCTAAAATTGTTTTTGGTGCGATACTTAGCTGATTTAAACGCCGATTATTTTGCACAAAATAAAAGATTATTTTGGAAGACGTAATTTAAGTTATTTATTTCACCAGACAAATATTGAAAAAAATAATTGTTTTATAATAACATCAGGCAGAGCTACTCTCTTGCTCGGATTTATTCCGTGAAATCGTGAAGATAGTTTGCTGATTGTTATGTTTCTTATTAGCTTTAATGATAGTTTCGTAGCGGACAAGTATAAAACCTGGCCCTCCCCAGTATTTCTCGAAATAACTGTGAAAAACGCAGCGCTTCCTTCTTATTTCATTAACTGATAATAAAAAATCTTTCAAATGAAAGATTTCTTCACAAACCTTCTATGTATCTCTTCTTTAGTACTAGACTACCTTCCTCCGCGCTAAACAAATGGAATATGTACATTCTTATAAAATAAATGGAAAATGTCAGAACAAATATATTTTGAGCTGATAAATTGATGCAAATTCTTTTTTTGATGAAAGTTATTCACTTAATAAACAAGATCATTTAAAACTATTTTTTATTCTACTTTTGAAAAACAGATCTTTTTTTTGCTTTTCTGTGTATTTGTGAAACGATTTGTTCCTATGACCAAGACATTGTAAACATTTACTGAAATTCACAGATCATGTTACACTGAATCAATAACAAAAAGGTCGACAATAATAAAAATAACAGCACTATCACACCTTCGGGGCAAATGTTTTGTGTCAAAAAGGTGTTATCAGTGTTTCGACAGCTAAAAACTTGTAGAAAGATAGCACGTCTTCTAGTTTTCTCGCAAGGAATTCTCTTCATGGATGTCACATAATTTCTCTTTAAAAACATTCAAGTAGGGTGTCTACATTATACAAGTCAAGAGAATATGATACTTGCATTCAAGACTTGATAGGTGTAGACGCGGCTGATGTTAAAACCAAGTTGCAATCTTTCTGTTTTGCTGATTTGAACACATTATCTGAGAGATAATGGAAAGAAATTCTTACAAATAAAACCTGTCCAAGATTAGACATTTAGAACTTTAGCATGCACTTCTGTCCAAATGGCTTATTATTTTCAATAAGAATTCAAAAGTACATTGCGTGCACTGAAATATTTTCATGCGTGCACTGAATTATTCTCAAGAATTATTGCAATAGTGTTCAAGAAACAACATGATGATTCTTTATAATTATTCAACAATAAAGTCAACACTTTAAATGAATCATTCAAAACGGCAAAATATTCCCGGTTTTATAAAGCCTGTTCATAGGCGTCAGTGGTATATTGAATCGGCTCCAATATCCCTAAAACATTTTAAACATATATAAATGAGTTAGATCCGCATGTACATGTTTAATGTTTTATAACCTGGTTATTTTATACCAAATAAAATAAATGAAATGCTAAATGTAATCTTACATTACATAATTATCATGATTTGACGCGATTTTTCGGATTTCAAAAAAAGTATCATGCGCACTCAACTGTCCAATATAAGATATTTGTATTTTTGAACGCTGTTACGGAAATGTAATTGATGGTCACGTGGTACAATTTAAAATTAATATTTGCTATATGTAATATAAGTTTGAGTTAAAAACAAACGTTGCATCTAATAAATATAGACATCGTTGTATAATATTGTAAAAAGTATGTTTTGTATAATTACCTCAACAAATATGATGTACAATCCCCTGTGCTCTGTAAATAAGACCATCAGAAAAAACTATAAATCATTCATAAATAATGGTCATTCTTAGGTTTTGTTTTGAAACGTTTCTATAAAAAGCTTGAAACCTGATCAAATCTCATTAGAAACCTATGTAATGTATTTATATATGCTAAAACATGTGCTTGAAATGGATATCCTTCAGGCTAAATCATATCAAAAAAGTTATTCCTTTACTGAAAAAAATGATTCATCTGTCTTATGCCACTAATGGTTTCTTGTTTGATTTATTTTGATGTCTGCGTAAACAAATACGTTGTCTCTGTGTTGAATTTGTTACCTTTTCTAGTTTAGTTGAATAATATTTTATTGCTTTTTTATTCTATACAAAAATAAATACAATGTCACATGCAAACATAAGACAGAACAGTAAGAAATGAATGTACAGTATTTGCATGGATGATGCAGTTATTCATAAAAAGCAAAAGGGTCGTTCCACAGATTTTAACAACAATAGAAGTCGGCCCTTCCCTTTCCTCAAAGATGGAAAACGGAACTGTCGTAGATAATTTCTAAACTTTATTATAACAATTCTAATTGTTCAACTTGAATGCAACTTAAACGTGAAAAACTCAGTTCATCTCATTAAAATTAACAAATATACACTTCATTTATCTTTAATATTTAGAGAAGGCATTTAAAGGTATGTTTAGCCTGGTATATGTGTCAGGTTGCTGTAGTTCTTTTACATAAAATATAGAAAAAAAAAACTATTGGTCAAAATAAATTTGTACTATTCATTGCATGAACAGGTGAATTAAGAAGATATACTGTTTTCAACAACGATAATACATTATTAACACCAAGATCATATTAATCATATCTTAGATGATGTTGTTTCATTGTGAAAATAAGAAATGAAAACTGTAGATAATGACACTTGAATTGCTTTTGAAATATAAATCTATTAACAAAATTTTGCTGTATGGAAAGAAGATATTAGTATTTTATCAATTTTTAGTATTCGTTCTCTTTTATTGAGTTTGACATCGAGAACCGCTGAATCTCAATTGCTTTCACGCTCGATTACAAAATATAAAACATATAAAATATACAAATGAAAGGTCAGTCAGTGATTTCCTCGGTTAAAGAGTAATATGGGTAATAACCAAATGGCATACACATGCTTTGTTTTACCAGGGTAATCTTTTTCTTTTCATTGAATGATACACACTTATGCTGCGTAATTGTCAACATAGTAAATTAATTGAAAATTTCTGCTACATTTAATTTTCTCCCAACATAAAATATATGTATTATAGTCTCGGAGCTCTTGTTCTCTTCAAACACCCCCGCTTCAATGGCATTTAAGCATGTGTTTCATAGTAATAATGATGACACAGATCAATAGCACACATGCTACCATCATAGCTTACAGTGACAATTTGATTTCGTCATCAATCTAAATATATCCATGAACAACTTCTCTTTTCTATTTTTTTCTGGCAATAATTAATTGTAATTAAAGAAGTACACAATGCATATATGCGTTTCATCTAGTTATATTTAAACATTGAAATAGTGCAAAATACACAATGTATACAGCCACGCTTCAAAACTTGAGTATGGTAAATAAACTGCATTAATTGAATCTTGTGCATGGTGCTATATATAACAAGAAATATCATGACCATGTGCCAATTGGTATCATCAATCATTGTAACTTTTCAAAGAAAGGCATGTGAAGTTGCTTGTTAACGATCAAGGAAACGCAAATCTAATGTCATGAGGTAAGTATACGTTTGTTAATCTTTGTCTTAGATTGTCTTGATATTTTAAAACATCAATTTGTTTGAATGACATGTGCCCAGAAATAGAACAATTCTTACCAAGAATACAGCACAAGTCTCTGTGACAAAACTTTATAAACAAATTAATCAATTTTAAATGTTAATTCGTATGATTTGAAAACGTTTTTATATACAATTTTCATAAAATATGTTCAGTCTTTTATATAAAAAAGTTCAGTATTAAATCTTTTTGCACCAGCGAGGAAAATTTGTCTTTACATTTTTTTACACAGTGATTATTTTAAATCACACATACCTTGGCAAAAATCAATCGCCTCAATGATACATTTTAACACATCTAGGTGCTCTTATTTATTAAGCATAACTATATTGACGGCCTCTTACACAAAACACCTTTTTCATACAAAATATACCAACTTACGGGGAAATTGTGTCTAGTATTATTCCAGTAAAATCAAACAGATTTTCAGACTATTTTATTTTGGAAGACTAATACAAGCAACACAGTAAATTGACTTACATCAGATGCTAGTTTTACGCTTTTCAAAAGTACTTAATGGTGTGGAGAAATCAAAGAAAGTTGTGACTTTGACTAAATTTCTACCAGCCAAAAGTTGTAAATCATGAAAAAAGTTATTGTACAAAACTCGAATCTCTCGACTATTTGAAAGTTTTTATATTTGCGGAAAACAAGTCTTCTCACCAATAACCATGACATCTTCATGAGTGTAG